GCTACTGGCGAGGCCACTGAGACTGGCGAGTTGACCGCTGAGGCTACTGGTGAAGCTACCGCTGAGGCCACTGGCACTGAGACCGCTGAGGCCACTGGCACTGAGACTGCTGAGGCCACTGGCACTGAAACCGCTGCCTCCGCTACTGGTTCCGGATCCGCTTCCCCTACTGGAGGTGCATCATCTAATGCAAAACTTGGACTCACTCGCCTCACCTCCGGAGAGGACTTCACCAAGGAGATCGCAGAGGCAAATCGTAACATCTTCGTCGTTCTCGGAACCACCATCAACAAGAACTACGCCCAACAGAAGAACAGTAAACAAGCAGGAGAAAAGGTTGACATCACCAAGAACTACGACGTCAAGGAGCAAAAGGGTAAGAGCCCATTCGCTAAGGCGAAGCCCGCCTACCTTTCGAAGCTTGCTGGGTTCGATACCGAGGAGTGGGACCAGGCTACTATCCAGAACAAGAAGTCTCCCAAGGGCGTCATCATTGAGACCTACTCCTCTTTGGAGGCAAAGGCTGTTGTCATTACTCAAGGACCCAACGAGGCAGCAGACGCCTTCGCTTCGGAGGACGCTACAGATGAGGATAAGGCTAACAGAATCTACTGGTGGAACATGCTCCGGGACAACTTCGTGAAGTCCTCCAAGGAGCCATCATCTCTCCAATATGTCATTCAGCGTGAGGTTGACCCTGAATCCGATACCTTCGTCCTCTTGGAGAGTCTTGCAGTCCTTCTTGGAAAGAAGGAGGGCGGCAAGCTTGCCAAGAAGCAGAGCATCCCGATCGAAAGCACTGGAAAGGACCTCCTCAACTTTGTCGCCATGTCGGGCTCTGACCTCGGCTTGGGAATCATGACCATGGCCGGTATGTTCCACGAGGATTTCGCCGGTCTGAAGATCAAGTCCTTCATCATCGAGCGTTCCGAGAAGAAGGTTTGGGACATTGTTTTGACCCTTGCCGTTGATGGCGAGGTCAGCACTGAGGTCGAGATCCTTGATTCCTCGGCGACAGGATCAGCGGCAGCAACAGCATCAGAGACTGGAGCAGCTGAGGCCACGGGAACTGAGGAGGCCACGGCAACCGAAACAGGCGAGGCAACCGGAACAGCTGAGGCAACCGGAACAGCTGAGGCAACCGGAACAGCTGAGGCAACCGGAACAGCTGAGGCAACCGGAACAGCTGAGGCAACCGAAACAGGAGAGGCATCGGCAACAGCAGAGGCATCAGAGGCATCCGAGACCGGAGAGGCAACAGCAACAGCAGAGGAATCCGAAGCATCTGCAACAGGAAAGGCATCTGCAACAGGAAAGTCATCAGCCGAAGCAACTGCAGAGACAGAGGAAGCAACTGCAACTGTCACAGGAAAGGCATCGGCAACAGGAAAGTCTTCCGCATCCGCATCCGCCACTGCATCCGCAGCGGAGGAGGAGTAGATGGAAACTCCCAGGGGTTAGCTGTGATGCTGTCTCTTACGAAGGAACACGAGGATCAGGACACTCATTATTCAAACTTTGCGACATTTCCTTTCCCTTTGTTTTGTTTACCTGTCTTTGAGCATTTTGTTGGATTGTTTTGGAGGATGTTGCCCGCAGCCGGGTTTTGGCATTTCGTAGCATGTTGATTGGTTGTAGTGGTAGTGAAGTGTGTACGTGGAAGTAGTAATATAAGATCGTTTCAGATCAAAAAAGGACTCCCTCATTGTGCCTGCAATTGATGTACATGACAAGTGGTGACCACCTATATATCAAGCTGGAGGTGGTCAGCCAATCTGGATCAGGCCTCGAGTATTCTCCGCAGGACCGTGTATCTTACTAGTAGAGGTAGTACATCACTGCACATACACGTTTGCTTTCACTCGAAACCATCTGCAAAAAAGAATAGGATTGGCGGAGAGACCGGCGGAGTTGAATCTTCGGGTATATGTTAAAAAGAAGAAAGAAAAAGAAGAAACCAAGGTAGCGGAGCGGATTTAGGTAGGGTACTGGTACTCCGCCCCAACACCAACAAGCTAGATACTAATTACAGTACAAATGCCAACGACGTCGTTCAATAACCAAAGTACCTAGGTACACACACCATACGCTACCAGAAAACCATGCTATGCAATTCGCGCCCAACCACGCTTTGGTATACTTCTTTTATGTTTGGTGAAGTAGTTTTTTTTTCGTTTCGTCTCGTTCCCTTCTGTTTCGTTTCATGTTTTCACGTTTATTTACTCAGATCATCACCCCAGAGCTCCTTGGCGATCTCGACGTTGAGGCGGACCTTAGCCCACTGCTCCTCTTCGGTCAACTCGTTGCCCTCGACCGTGGAGCTAAAACCACACTGGTGGCTTAGGCACAGCTGCTCAAGTCCCTTGGGCGCGACTTCGGCGGCCTGCTTGATGCGGTCGATGATCTCCTGCTTGTCGTCGAGGGTGTTCTTCTTGCTCGACATGACGCCCACGACGACGACCTTGTGTTCGGGCAGGTGGCGGAGGGGCTTGAAGTCACCGCTGCGCGCGTCGTCGTACTCGAGGAAGTAGGCGTCGACGTTGAGTTCCTTGAAGAGAACCTCGGCGACGGGCTCGTAGCCGCCGGACGCGAACCACTTGGAGCGGTAGTTGCCTCTGCAGAGGTGGATGCCGATCTTCATGTCTGCGGGCCGCTTGGAGATGGCGGCGTTGATGAGCTCGGCGTACTTTCTGGGGAGTGTAGAGAGGTCTTCGTTGCGATCCTCGGCCGCCTTGCGCATGTCCGGGTCGCACAGGTAGGCCAGGTTGGTGTCGTCGAGCTGCACGAAGCGGCACCCGGCTTTGTACAGGTCGTCGAGCTCCTCCTGGTACACCCTCGCGAGGTCGGTGAAGAACTCGTCGAGGTCTGGGTACGCTTCGATGTCGATGCTGGCGCGACCGCCGCGGAAGTGGACCATGGTAGGACTCGGTATGCAGACTTTGGTGGTGGCGGCGCCGCCATTGTCCTTGATAGCCTGCTCGAGAAACTTGAAGTCGTCGACCTGGATGCTCTTGGGGTGTCCGAGTTTGCCTGTGACGGCGAGGACAGGCGGGGAGAAGCCGTGCGGCCTGATCAGACCCGTCTGTCCGCGGATCTCGATGCCGTCCAAATGCTGGAGGAAGTCGAGATGGAAGTAGGCGCGGCGGAACTCTCCGTCAGTGATGGAGCGTATGCCAGCTGCGATTTGCTTGGAAGCTACGTCTGTGACTGCCTTGTCCTCGACCTTGCGGAGCTCCTCGAGAGTCGACTTGTTCTCGGCAACAGCCTCGCGAGCGTCATGGATAGATTTTGGGCGCAGGAACGAGCCTACGTGGTCGGCTCTGTAGACGCCGAAGGGGAGCACCATGATTGCGGAAGAAGAATGCTGGAATTGCAATTGAAGCTGTGAGAAGCTTCAGTTAGCCGAGGGATACTCCATAGTGACGAGCAGAGCTATGAGGAGATATCGTACTATAGGCAGTGGACAGAGCTTGCTGCAGACTGTCTACGTATATGGACGGAATCCTTCAGCAACAGCACTTACTGGGGAGACGACGAGAAAGGATGAACCAAGCTTGAATAGAGGAAACAGAGAAAATCAGAGCTATTCGGAAGGCGTCACGAAACGGAAGCAAGCTGCAAAATATAACAGCATTGCCCCAAACGTCAAGAACCCATCCTTTGCCCAAAGCACGTTAGAGCGACTGATGCGCATCAAGAACCCCACCACGGCAGTTGGAGAAATGGGCCTAACTGGGGACGGAGGAGCCTCTAAGGAGCGCCCGGCCCCGTGTCAGCGCGCGTGCTTGTATTTACTTGTAGGGGAGGGGTCAACGAGGGGCTCATCGACGGGTTTGTCCGAGATTATCGGCTAACTCCCTGCATGGTGGGCTTGGTTGTTCAATTCTATTTTTTTTTCTTATCCGAGTGGCGGATGCTGCTGATGTCTTCTGTCAATTGTGCATTGTCGTATACTCGTATGTTGGGGTTGAGATGTTTAGTTGGGGGGCACGGGGGATGGGGGAGGGGATGAGGGGAGAATGCATCAATGGAGGGGGGGGAATGACGTTCGGAGGTGAAAAACGGCAGGGTCCCCAGCTCTGTCCTCCATATGCTTGGAGAGGCGACGAGGAGGGGTAGTGGAATTAAATAATCCATGGACATGAAAACAACGAAAGCTGGGCAGTAAACTGAGGTATACATACTCTGCTACCTCGCATTGAATAGTATTCATATCTACCTCATCATTGGAAATACACAAGAGAAACAAGTGTCGCCCATGATCGACTCTCAGTAGTCATTACATCGATTGTATGCCTCGACTAGTACTGCTCGAGTAGAACAAAAACTGTGGTCGACATCTCTCTTCATCTTCGAAATATATAGTACAGTGAAATCCGTGTTCGGGAGCCCTACTCGGCAGCTTTCTTCAGCAGCTTGGCCTCCAAAAGCTCGTGAAAATGGTGATGCACAAGTCCGACGTCAACGTCCTCATCGTCGTTACCATTTATTCCGAAGTGGTCTGCGAGCGAGTAGACACGGCCGCCCTTTTTGTCGACTTCCTTCTCACGCCTGGGCAAATCCCGCTGAGCAAGACGCAAGCCAATCGTCCCAGCCCCATTGCCTGAGTCTCCTTCTTCTTCTACGATTGCCGTCTTGAAGTCACTGAATTCAGGCTGGATGGTCTTCATGTTGATTTCGCAGACCTTGAAGACAATAACCGTTCCGATTCGGATGTCGTCTTGGGACAAACTGGGAAGTGAAGCAACATCGTCGGGAATCGGGGGCAAATCCTCTTGCACAGATGTGGCGACATCCTGCACAATCTGCGCATCCACCTCTTTCATGACATCTGCATCTGTCTTGCTATCCAGAGCATCTCCATAGTCAAGCACAATGCTCTCTTCGCCCTCTTGGTGCTGCTCGATGGGTGAGTAACCTTGATTTGGAGCGTTGCTCCAGTCAGGATCATTGTTCTTGTTCGAGACATTCTTCTTATCTCTCTTCTTCTGCCACTTTTGCTTCTCTTGGGCAGCCTTCTGGCGCATGAGCTTGGACGCCGGATCCCAATGCTGTTTGAATGGGAACGGCGGAGCACTGAGCTCATACTCTTCCTCCCAACACTCGAACGCTGAGAGTTTGAGTTTTGATTTCCAGAGATCAGGGTCAGTATTCAAAGGCTTCGAGGGTTGCTCGTCAGCCGCCTTAGATTTGGGTGCTCGTTTATGAAGCGGCTACTCTCTTGTCAGTAAAAGGACATCTGTGAGCGCAGCCAATCTGGCCGCTTCGCTTGTGACGTTGCTTGTCTTGTGTTGGCTCTTGACATATCGCTTCAGTGGACCAGGAAACAAATTTGTATCTGCACGGTCGCGTCGTGAAGTGGAAATGGAGGTGTAAATGGGGAATAGGATATGGGGGGTGGCAGAACCGGATAGAAAATAGACATAAGCAGAAAGAAATTTGTGAATTACCTGAGCCTGGTGGGAAATTATCCGCTTAAACGCAGAAACGTCCGGCCTCAATCGTTTCGAAGCTGACGGGGGTGTTGAAGAGTCCACAGGTGTAGCTGGTGCTTGCAGCTCATCAATCTTGGCTAGCATCTCGATCCTGCGGCGCTCAAGGGATGAATCTTCGTCCTCTTGGTCGTCACGTTTACGCTTCTGAGAAGACATTCCGACTGTTGTTTTGCTGGGTGTGGTAGAGTGGTTGTTGTTAGTGAGCGCTCTTGTCCTAGTGGCTGGTGACAGTGCTCTCAATTCTTTGAAGCCAGCATCAGCATCCAAAACGCCCTGCTCCTTCAATTTTTGGAGCCTCGCTTGCTCCTTACGTCTCTGGTTTCGATTCCAGGTTGATTTGGACCCCGAGCCAGGCGGCCCATATGGTTTGACTTTGGTCGACCTCTCCTCGGGCCCTTCATCTCCCCCACTCTCGCTGTCAGAATCACTGCTGGAATGACTGCCGGAGCCGCTGGGGTCAGAGTCAGCGGAGGATTCATCGCCGGATGCACCATCAGAACCACTCTCAAGGTCGTCCATAGACACATCAAGGTCGTCCTCCGGTGCGAAGTCCTCGTCATCGGACTCTTCACTTCCTAGCTGGTCCACCGGCAAGTCTTCGAACCGAACGGCCTTGTGGGTTCCTTTACTCTCACCACGATTCTGCAGATCCTTCGCGGAATGATCGCTGGGACTTTCTCCGTGAGCCATGATGAGACCAACATTCCCCACACTCTGATGCTCTTCCATTGCGTTATCGGTAATCTCGACTAGGCGTGCTTGCCTTGGAGGTGGTATGCGAATGGGCGGTCGGTTGGGGTCCCGTAGGTAAGGTCGACCGAAGGGTATACCATCCAAGAGGTGTTGTCCGCCCTCAGAGATCTGGTTGCGGCCACCGAGGGACCTCTCGCGTACTTCTGTTGTCATCAACGGGCGGATACTAGATTTTGCATTAGTCCTTCACTTTCATAGAACAACTATTCCCAGTGAGCCGTACCAGACTATGTCGTCATCTCTGAGAGTATGCGCGACAGGTGAGAAGTGAAGACATTCGAATCCGCCAACTTCTACAGCATAATCATCCAGACCCCAGTGATCGCCTTCGAGTGGGAAAATCAGATTCACATCTTCCAGTAGCCGCGCGATGGTATAAGCAGGCGACTTGTTGGCTTCGGGGACGGTCCAGAGCGCTTGGGTTTGAGGCAGGCGATTCCGCTGCACCGAGAGGCGGAGGCGCATATCGATATATTAGGTCACAAGATTCATGTGAGTGATTTATACCGGTTGTAATTCATGCGAAGTTGAGATGTATACGTGGAGAAGCCGAGGATTTATGAGTGAAGGTAAAGTAAAGTAAAGGCCGGAATAGACCCGCGCAAATTCCAGAGCGCCTGGCCCAGCAAATCGCAAAGCGCCATCACGTGCCCTCGCGTTTGCCTAACCCTGTACAGTACGGGCGACTTGGGTTGATGTACCACAAGCAATTGAGAGTTTTTAGAAAGAAAATAGTCATCTAGCAAGTAATTAATTCACCAATTGATGCTTGCATTGATCTTATCTTCACCTCAGTGAGTTTGACCGAATTGATAAATCCTTTCTTTGTAGGTATAAGTTCAAAGGTACCTAGCACCTAGGTAGCTAACCTACTAGTAGTCACTATTCTAAGTACCTGTATGACGGAGGTAGCGTCCGCCCTCTCCGTCATGCCCATCCCACCCCCACCAGCACCATCATCCCTAAAACTAAACACAAACTCTCAGGCATGATAAAAGTCCAATCTTTGTCCGATAACGGCGCCATACAACCCTGAAATTCACAGTGAACAAACTTCACATATATGTAAAGTGTTTTTTTAGATTGGATTGACACACCCTTTCACCTACACCTCCCTATTACATCTGCAGCTGTCATAAATACAATTAGCGGCCATGCCCATTAGCACCTTTACTGGCAAGTGGACGAAGCTCCTCTCAACAGAACGACTACGTCGGTCCTCACAGATCGTCTCCGTTGTGGACCAAAAGATATGCATCTTCGGCGGTGAAGTACTTCCTCGACAACCTATTGACAACCAGATCGATATTCTTCCTCTCAATCCAGGTATGTACAATCATCTCTTCTCCCCAAGCCACCAGGGTACTCACACCTCAGCTTCGCCAAACCTACAAACAAAGTCCTCATCAACTGCACCATCACCTCGTGTGGGCACCGCATCGGCAGTCTCAAATGGAAAACTGTACCTCTTCTCTGGCCGCGGTGGCACCGATATGGCACCGATCGAGGAAAATGGTGCGGTCTGGAGCTACGACGTTGAAAAAGCGAGCTGGGAGAAGCTGAACCCTGCCAACACGTCGAAGTCATATCCGCAGGCTCGAAGCTACCATTGCGCTACGAGCGATTCCAATGGTTCGTTCTTTATTCATGCTGGATGTCCTACGAGCGGTCGCTCGTCTGATCTCTGGAAATTTGACGTCTCGTCGCGCATTTGGACACAGTTGCCCGATGCACCAGCTCCCCCGCGAGGTGGCACTTCCATCACATCAGTAGGCGGCAAGCTATACCGCATGAATGGCTTTGATGGTGAGAAAGAGCAAGGCGGTCATGTCGACATCTTCGACCTAGCCAGCAACTCGTGGTCTACTCAGACATTCAAACCAGATGGCAACGACGGGCCAGAACCCCGCAGCGTGTGTACTTTACTTCCGATCCGACTATTTGGCAAACAGAAATTGATAACCATGTTCGGCGAGCATGATCCTTCCTCACTCGGCCACGCGGGCGCAGGAAAGATGTTGTCAGATATTTGGATCTACGACATCGTTGAGAATTGGTGGACCAAGATTGATTCAGTAGGAGCCAATGGCGTCCCCCAACCTCGCGGCTGGTTCGGCGCAGACGTTGCAAGAGACGAGGAAGGAAAGGAACATATCGTTGTTCATGGCGGGCTCGCGGAAGATAACTCCCGCCTCACCGATGTCTGGCTGCTGCATTTTTAAGTAATAACACAGCCAACTACTTATTGGGTCGTCACTAAGCAATGGAATAAAGTTGCGTCATCAATGAACAATTGGAAAATGTACACGATATTCAGCAATTCTTCGGGACAGTGGTGCATAGCGGATCGAGTGAACATTGGCATGGTGACGTGCTGGTCCCTGGTGCAAAATATTGGCTACCCTACGGAGGTAAATCGGCGCCTCCTCCGTCTTCGCAGGCAAAGCGGAAAATACCATTTGAACACGAGTAATTCAATTGCAACTTTCTCTGCCCAACAAGCACTGCTCAATGGCTCGCTCCTACGGGATTCGTCGTCACTAGCCCCATTGCAGTAGTGCTTGCGTCCCGTCCGTATTGAGCTATTGAGTAGGAGCATTTTATATCATCCCATCTCTTCAAATGTTGACCGCTCTCGTCGCCATCGCCATTCCACCCTCAAGCCCGCCAACATGTCGTTACAAGTCGACGAAGAAACACCGTTGATACGTAAAGACTCTACCATTACTTCAGATTTAAACCATGTACCTTCGAGCATCAAGAAAAGGCTCTACATCTCACATTTCCTATCGACATGGAATTCGCGCGTCTTCGAATTCGGCGCTGTCCTTTATTTGGCTTCAATATTCCCCAACAGTCTCCGACCTATGTCCATCTATGCATTTACTCGCGGCATTGCATCAATTCTTCTTTCTCCTGCTGTCGGGCGATACATCGACACTGCGAACCGCCTTCAGGTCGTGCGGTCCTCCATTGGTTCGTACAGTATACCAGCAATGCAATCGTATCATGCTAATGACTATGTAGTATTCCAACGTGTTTCGGTCGCATTGTCATGCCTGATATTTTGGGTCTTTGCTAGTGGCCGGGTTGAAGCTTATGGACTTACTGTTGGTCTTTTGACCATTGTCGCCATGCTAGCTTGTACTGAGAAAATATGCTCTGTGATGAACACTGTGTCAGTGGAGAAAGACTGGGTAAGTCTATCTAAATCCTTCTAACGAAACATACTTAGCCTACGCAGGTCGTTGTCGTTGCCGGTAAGAACGAAGCAGCATTGAGAGGTACGTAGTCTTCCTTACTTCAATGTCTATTTGCCGCTGACGGTGCACCAGAGCTCAATGCACAGATGCGTCGCATCGATCTGATCTGCAAGCTCGCTGGACCTTTCATGATCTCCATGACCGATGGCTTCTCGACTGAAATTGCCATAATTCTGAACTTTAGCATGAACATAGCATCAGTCGTCATCGAATACTACGCTATTGCAAGAGTGCGTACCACCCTGCTCGTAGTGGATCAAGTTGAACAAAGACTCATTTTCCACAGGTATACGAAAGCGTCCCAGCTCTTCAAGAGCCCAAGACATCAACGCATGATCAACAAATCGAAACGGGAAGCACATCCTACGCTCAGCGCACAACCCGCTCAATAAAATCATATGTGGACTTGCTATCAACATACTTCCACCATCGTGCCTTTCTCCCCTCATTTGCCCTCGCTATACTCAACTTCACTGTCCTCAGCTTCGGCGGCCAAATGGTAACATACCTCCTCTCCGGCGGCTATAACTCTCACCACATCGGCTTCGTAAGGACCCTCGCCGTCGTGCTCGAGATTGCTGCAACCTGGACGGCGCCCTGGTTCATGTCGAAAGTTGGACCTCTCCGTGCCGGCCTCTGGAGCATCAATTGGCAGATTCTCAGTCTCGCGGGTGCTGCGACGGCGTTCTTGAGTATCAAGTATCGCCCCTACGCTGCCTCGGGCCTCGTCGCGGGATCGATACTAAGTCGGATTGGACTACGTGGTTTCGATCTGTGTGCACAGATTGTGGTGCAAGAGGAAGTCGAGGCGGAGATAAGGGGGGCTTTCTCTGCTGTCGAAGCGTCTTTCCAGAGTCTTTTCGAAATGTGTTCGTATTTTTCCACGATGGTGTTTGCGAGGCCCGATCAGTTTGAGTGGCCGGTGCTGCTGAGTTGTGGTGCGGTGTTCATGGCTGGGGTACTTTATTCCAGGTTTGTGAGGTCGAGGAGAGGGCACCTGCTTCACTTGCCCAGTTGCGTACATCCTAAGGGTAGGGGCAAACACCCCGTACATGACGAAGAGAACCAAAGCCCGCTGAGGGGATAAGAGATGGACGGCATCACATGAGCGAGAGAAGCAGGAAAGGTTGGATGCATGTTCTTCAACGTCTTGACGTAAAATCCTCCGATGTACTTTTAATCTTCCATTGGATATAATTTAGAACCTGGCGTTTGGGAGCAGGTAGAAAAAGAATTAAGTACCATTTGTTTCTGATTATGATGACAGGGCAACCCCTTTTTTCTTCCCATTGCAACGCTGTCAGGCAGTTCTCCGCGAGCAGAAATACCTGTCCGCCTTTGACCACCCTGCCATAGACGATATGTATGTGGATTTGAAGAGCTTGAAGAGCACTATCCTGGTGGGCGCAAGATCTTGAATTCGGATGTCAAGGTAGTTAAAAGGCTTCAACTCCAAAATGACAAATTGAAGTTTCATCTTGTTTTTCCTTTGATGGACAATGACCGCTTATTCACTTCTCTCAATCATACAAAGAGTCAACGACCTCTAAGAACCCAATATCACGAGTAGGAACCCCGGCTCCTTCGCTTTCATACCTTCCATCAAAGTAATGATCAACATAGCCCTGCTCGCCTTCGATATCAATTTCGATCCCTACGTCTTCTGTGGATCTATGCACATAAACAGTTCGCATGCCAACCTTCTTCGCGGCCTCCAAGTCATAGAGATGCGACGCCAACATCGTACAATTCTTCGGCGCCAGCTTCGCCAAATCCATAGCCTTTCTATATATATCCAGATCCGGCTTTGTCAGTCCTAATAGCTCCGAAGACATGAGCATATGGAAGGGTATATTCGACGACTGCGCGATATCGAGTTGCAGTCTGGTCGTCCCATTTGCCAGAACAACTAAGAATACGTCGCCCCGCTGGCGGAGCTTTTGTAAAGCGGGAATCACATCAGGCCAAGCTTGCTGCCGGTGCCATTGCTGCACGAGTCTGCGGCGTACGTCCTCGTCCCAGTCGTCAAGGCCGATATGCAGAGCTTCGAGCAAGCGGTCGAGGACACGCCGGTGCGTTATGTCGATATCTTCAGCAGGAAGGCCCTTCTCGAAGCGTGCGTGGATCTCGGAGAAGAAACCTTCACGCCAGGATATTGCTAGAGATTGCAATTTTGGCCACCGCGGCTCAAGTGATGTATGTGCGGGACAAGATAATAATACGGGTTTGAGGGATATCAACCAATCGCAGCATGTACCCATCAAGTCGAAGAATATTGCCGTCTGGTTTAGAGGCTCCATCCTGAAATATGTGGTGTATCGTGTTGGTGCAGATGCTGGCCTCACTACGAGTATATCGTTAGAGAGGGCTTACTGTAGAGCTGCACCGTTGTTGCGTGTGGTAATGATCTCTGGATATCCACTGGTTTAGGTTATGTCAATCTGCGTTGCTCTGTCATTGCGATAAGATAGTTGGTTTTTTTTTCTCGTCTACGTGATCGAAGCTTATGCTGACGGAAACTATCCCAGCCGAGGTGATCGACATGCATGTCTCATTCACAATAAGAGTGGTAAAGTTTAGCCCGGTACTCAAAGAACAATATAAGATGTTAATTTTGTGGAAAGGGACGTTTTATCCATGCTCCTACTTGGCTCTAACGCATAAATGAGGTGTTTCTCTGTTTGAAATTGGAGGGTTCAGGCACCCAGACCAGCAGACTATGCCGAACCCCTCTCGAGGGAGCAACCCTGGGTTGCCAGCTGGCAGACTGGCTTTGTGAGGAACTAGCTCGGTGGGGATCGGTCCGAAATGTGCTTACCTTCCTTCTCACATGCTGTATTATTGAGAGGGAAAACTTGACGGAACGATTATACATATTGATCATGCACATACCCTCGACTTTTAGAACACGGGTGCCAAATTCACAGAAGGAATAAAGTTCCGGCATATGAACGGTTCCCACCCCATTCCAGAGACCTGGAAAAGGCTTGAAAACACGTGGTAAGAACATATCTCTTTCCCTTGCAGAATCCAATACCAACCTCTTAAACCCGATTGCCGAGTGATCGGCCGCCAGCCGCTTCCGCGCTGCACCCAGCAGTGCACTCACAGCCCGCTCCACAAGCTAGCTGCTATTCCAGGAAGCAAACCCCATACTCTCCAGTGAGAGCGAAACAGAGTTTCCAAAGATTGTGGGGCCTCACAGGCCTTCTTGCCAATGTCTGTGGGGCATTTTCTCTATGTTGTAGTACATCATGGTATTAAACGTGTAGCCAAGGACACCATCTCCAGGCTCTCCCGCTGTTGAGGAGTCGGCTCCATTGTCGATCTATATCCACTAAAGCTGCGCCCTTGCTCTCACCTTCTCCTCGAACCAATTTCTTTTTGCGTCTTACGATCGTTCGTCTCCGGCTGCAAAGTGCAGGTCTCTTTCACAATGCCGGCAACGATCACGGTCAACGAGAATTCGCTATGGACGAACCGAACGTGTCTTTGGATGTGCTGCGTTGTTTCGATGGCGAATATGCAGTACGGCTTTGATAGCGCTGCCGTTGGTGCATTGCAGGTAATTCAAATAGGCTTCTTATAGTCTTGATACAGCTAATTCATTCAGGCCATGCCCGGGTTTCTCAAAGTATTTGGCTATGAAGACCCGAACAGTCCTTTGGGATATGGAATCGATGTATGTGGATCTCAACGAACAGCGGCACAGCATCTATTAATTGAAGTACAGAGCACGGTTCAGCAACTCATTACATCGCTACTTACGCTCGGCAGCTTCGTATCAGCCCTTGTAGCCGGATACTTCGGGGCCTTTTTTGGACGCCGTGAGGGTCTCTGGGCTGCTTGCGCTCTCAATGCAGTCGCCTGTGCTATTCAGATCGGAACAGACTCCGCTGGCGTTTTGTACTTTGGGCGTTTGCTGTTGGGCTTCGCAAATGGATTCCTTGTTACATTCTCCAATGTATACACTTCCGAGGTGGCCCCATCACATCTTCGTGGTATCATGGTGGCGTTGTTCGTAAGTATTATGTTTGCGATGGCTCACTTGAGTATTTCTAATATCAATTCAGGCCTATTGGGTGAACATAGGCTCAATCGTTGGCGCTGTCGTGGTTAATTATACCAAGGATATCTTAACAAAAAATAGCTACCGGATTCCCATTGGTTGTTTGTACATTGTGCCAACGTTCCTTGCCATTGGCCTCTTTTTTGTCCCTGAGAGTCCCCGGTGGCTACTCCACAAAGGCAAGACGGAACAAGCAAGGCGATCATTGGAGAGACTTCGTCATGGAGCCACGACCAGCGAGGAGCTGGAGCTCGAGTGGACCGAGATGACAAAGGGTGTCGAGGAAGAAAAGCGTGTCGCGACGAGCGTCTCTTTTATCGACATGTTCAGAGGTAAGGAATCTATGCAGGCACAAGATCAGAATTAACTGTTCATTCAGGTCACGATCTTCGCCGAACACTACTATGCTATGGAATGATCGCCTGCCAAACTGCTTCCGGGGTCTGGTTCCTCATCGCATACGCTACGTACTACTACACTATCGCCGGTGTCACGAAGCCCTTCGAGTACTCGATTCTCCAATCGTGCATTGCCTTCATCGGCGTCAATGTTGGCATGTACGCTATTAAGCACTGGGTCGGCCGCCGGACCATACTCATCATGGGGGCGGCCCTATGTGGCCTCTGCCAACTTGCCTCTGCCATCGCAGCAACTGTTGATTCGGCATCACAAACCACTGGAAAGGTTTTGGTAGCGTTCACTGTACTGTTCATGTTTTTCTACAACGGATGCGTTGGAGCTGCCAGCTACCCCGTTGCAACTGAGCTTGTCAGCTCTCGATTACGAGCTTGGACAGTCGGGTCCGCGACAGCGTTGGGCTACGTGCTTGCCTGGCTCACCGGCTTCTGTTCTCCATACTTCATTAATCCTGAAGAGCTCAACTGGGTGAGTTCTACAATTGTTGGACCTTTGTCGTAGTTGGTGGCTAACGGTGTTGACACCAGGGACCTAAATACGGCTACATCTGGTTCGGATCCAATATGCTGTGCATGGTATTCTTTTTCTTCCTCATGCCTGAACTTAAGAATCGATCCCTCGAGGAGATTGACGAGATCTTCGAAGCGGGCGTGCCGGCGCGCAAGTTCAGTCGGTATGAATGCAGGATCGTCCAAGACACGAAGAATGAGCTTGATGCTCAACATCAGCAGGGCAAGCATAATGGAGTTTTAGTCGAGAGTGCAGAGAAGGTTACATAAGTATTGAACGTCATGTGCATGTGATATCTGGACTAGATAGACAATAGATCTAGGGTAAGATCTCCTGATAATGTCGTTTTCGTTCTCGATTGATGTGTATGTCTGGGCTGTATTGTGCATTATCCTTAGCGAACATGATAGCTGTTGAAGAGCTACTTGCTGAATTGAACCTAGCAATGTCAGTGATCTTATTCCAGACAATAATGAAGAACTCCCACAGTCTGTTGCTCCTTTCCTACAAAATTGGGCTCTTCCATTGATCATTAATTTCATTGGCAGAGTGTGAATGATGATCCGTTACCCAAATCAAGTAATTCTTACGTGGAATCCTACAAACATACCAGCTGCTCAAAGGGCCTGCGACCTCGTAACAACGCGTTAATTAAAAGAAACCATAATATGGTCTCGGAGAAGAGTATTTACACTCCTATAGCCTATTCTGTTATGCTGGTCAGTCAATCTTCAAAGATCAATCGCCACTGAATACGACAAATTATTTAGTCAACCACAATATAATGCGTAAAGTCGAACTTATATCAGTAGTGCTCCGAAAATCTGTTTGCTGAAGACGCCAATTTATGGGGAAGATGACGGAGATCAACATTCTGATTCCCCGGAGGGGTTGACCTTTGACCGTGAGCGACGTACTTTGTTCCATTATGAAACTAGCGACCATCGAAGTCCGTATGATCGAGCAGCAAGACTCATGATGATAAATTATTGTGATGCGATCGCGCTCATGCCGAATATTCATGCGACATTCGAGCTGCCCGAGTCGCGTTGTGCAATGTTGATCTGGATGAAAGAATGACAATCCCCCACAGTTGTACTGTGTAACTAGCATGTCAAATTAAGGACGACGCACATTTTCGCCCCAGGTGAGACGCTTAAAGTTCTCGTACGCCTTGAAAGAATGTTGATCGCGTGGGCCGACGAATGGGAAGGTCGAACTTGTTTTTGGCGAGGCACAATCTTTTTTCTCGTGCGCAGTAATTCCATAGAGCTTCGACTTTAGTCGTGGCTGTGACGGCGAGCTTACTCCGACCGTATGAGCCGTGCGAGTAAGGCTGTGCCATAACGACGTCCCTCCTAAACAATTCGACGGCGTGCCCTTAGTGCACAATGCATGGATATTACACCTATTCGGGCTAACTTTGAGATGTCATATTAGTCGCATAGACGTCGAATTGACGAATTGTTCTCACAGCTCCGATGGTAACGGAATACCAGTGACGGAATTCTCTTGGTATTGTCGGAGGTCCTCAGCCCCCATCGCTCGCCAAAGTTGGCCGCGTAGCCGCCCGAGGCTGCTTACATTCCTTCGTCTGGTTGCTCCCCTGTGGGTTATGACGACGAGGTACAATACGTACGTTCATGTGCAAGGCGTAACTAACCGATGAGATGATGATTGTGTATCGAGTCTATCGGCCCCATCATTCAACGTGCCTTGAAGGTGAACGCGAATGGATGCGGCTGCACGTGGCCTTCCATGTTCGTACTCCTTGTCTCCATTACTAGAGGCCATGCGCCAGCAGCATACAAAGATACGATGCTGTGTAAGTGTTCTGTAAAAGATTATACCTGCCCAAGAAGGTTTCAGTATCAATAACGTGAGAGATCGTACGCAAAACTATGAGATAGCATTGCTAAGAGGAACGCATAACACCAATCTTTTCCACACTTTCCAATGCGATGTGGACAGCATCCACTGTGTACTGCTATGTATCGCTAGCCAACAGGAGTGGACTGGGCGCAATCCCTGTGCGTGCCGTGCCCGACTCCCGTCTACGAACGAGATAGCGTCGCCCTACAGACGCAATGGGGCAGGTTGTCGAGGGTGTTTACGAGTACAAGTAATTAGTTATGATGAAGCTTCCGCAGTAAATCAATCGAGCACCCAATAATAGAGCCAATAATAGAGCCAATAACAGAGGCTGGCGTGCGAAAAGGTGGTTCGTGCAACGCAACGCCTGAAGCCACATCCACTAGCTTCCTTCGAAGGATCACCACAATTCCTCCGCGCGTTTGACCGCAGTTTCTTGCCCTGTTCGACCATTATTATGGAGCTTCATTTCATAGTTAACATCGTATTTTGTATATCAACTGAGCTCCTCGCACCCGTTGCTTTGCTTATCTCTCCTTACCTCCACCCACTCGTCACCTTTCGCACATCTCTAGTGCTTTGTCTCATAACTTTCTTTGTCTATACCTACAAACCTCCTTCATATTTGTTCCATCGATTAATTTTCTACTACGAAGCACAGGCGCCATGCATACCAAGCAGGCCGTCACATTGTTTGCACTTTCGTTAATACCCTCAGCATTGTCGTACTGTCCACCACCAGGTGCACTTCTTCCTCCACCTTCCCTAAAGAATTCCACTTCTGGGTCACCTGTTTCAGAATCTGCTCTCAAAGAACTCGAGGGTGATGATACTTCTTTCGCGATCAGAGCTACAATTGGCGACAAGGATGTTTTCTCGTATGGCTACCTAGCGCCCGCTTATGACCATAACAACATTGGTCTGTACGATACGAAGTTCCGAGTTGGCAGCGTCACAAAGGTTTTGACCGTTCTTGCCGTCTTGCTGTCAGAGGACAAGATTCTATTTTCCGATTCTATCAAGAAATTCGTACCAGAACTCAGCGGCGATGTTTGGGACGATGTGACCATTCAAAGTCTGGCGGATCAAACCAGCGGTTTGGGTCGCTTTGGATTCGTAGGAGATTTGGCCGTGATACCAACGTTTGACCCAGCTTCCGTTGGTATTGGACCCCAAAACAATACTCATCCAGGATGTGATCCCTTCCCCGGGGGCAAAACATGTTCATACGAGCAAGTCATCGACATGTTCAACAACCCTTCGCAGCTCCCTCACTCGCCGAACTCTGGGCCTCTGTACTCAAACATTGGATTCAATCTTCTCGGAATGGCTCTCGAGAAGGTTCACGGCAAAACCTTCGAAGAGGTCGTCCAGGATCTTATTTTGAGCCCTCTTGAGCTCTCGCAATCAACATTCATTCCTCCCAACGATACGAGCCGTGCGATTCTCCCTCAACCTGGGGATAGGTGGTTCGTGCCCAACTTTGAGAACTACAACCCCACTGGTGGCTTGTGGTCAACCCCCAACGAGTTCCACAAGATATTCCGCGCCATTGCCAACAACGAATTCCTTTCGGCTCCTGCGACCCGAAAGTGGCTCCAGCCTCGTGCGATTTTGCCCTCCCTAACTCAGCTTGTCGGAGCTCCATGGGAGATTCTGAGACCCGCAGACCTTAAAGTGAAGTTCCCTCGCCCGATTGATATATACACCAAGTCAGGAGGTGTGGACGGCTACGCAGGCTACGGCATTATCGTCCCAGAGTACAATCTCGCAGTTACTCTCAACGCCGGTGGTAACAGCTCCACCAAGGTCATTCAATCAGCTATGGCCACCGTGCTCCAGGGTCTGATTGAATACGCCGATGTACAGGCGCGTGAGCAGGCCACTGCTAGATATGCTGGTACCTACAAGGATTCCACTGGCAACAGCTCCATGACTTTTGAAGTCGACGATGGCCCCGGCGTTGCTATAACTGAATTTACCATGAATGGCGTCAAGGTTTTGAACACCATCGCTGCCATCCAGAAGAAAGATCCCGCCAATTTCTCGGCGCGTGTGTACCCTACAGACACAGATTCCCTTGGAACTGAGAAGGAGTTCTGGTGGATGCATTTCGATACAATTAAGAAAGAGGAAAGTTTTGCCGATATGTTGTGCTCTGCATGGTTCCAACTGGATCTATATAGATATAACCGTGAGAGTCTCGATGCGGTCAAATTCGTCACTGAAGGTGGAAACGTGGTCGCGGTTGAGATGACAGGTTGGCGTATGGCTCTCCAAAAGTCATAGGTGTACGACACTTTCACATTTCACTACACATATTAGTGCTGTCAACTGGCATTTAATCTTGAATTATTTATTTTTTGATTATTATTTTCGCACAAAATGTTCACGTGCATGAGACCTATCATTTCGGATCGTGAGCGCTGACCTCAATCTCCACTCTCATGTCGTCTTCGCCTAGACGCTGAACTCCTACGCAGGTCCAGATTGGTTTGTGGTCAGGCATCCATTTATCGAATCCTTTTTTCATAGCGTCTATTGCCTCGTTGTTGAGAGGCACGTGATAGGAATTCACCCGGAAGACTTGTGACCAGCCCTTTCCACCAGCATCTTTCAGAGCAAGATCGACATTTACAAATGCCTGCTCGATTTGAGCGTTGATTTCCGTATTGAATTCGCCTGTTTTAGGATCCCAGCCACCTGAGTGTGTCTTCAGATTTTGAACGGCCAGAACTATTGACACCAGCATTAACTTACCTTGTCCGCTCAACTCGATTCTATCCCCTACACGCACGCCTTGATTATATCGGTGTAACTTCAAGTTGCGTTCGCCCACTCCAGGATATGCATAGTATTGGAGATGAGACATTGTTTCCAGGTGGCGTATCTATATGTTCAATTGAATGAAAATATATATAACAACAATTCTTGATTTGTTCAGATGGAACACCCAGATGGTAAAGCCTTTATACATTTCCCACCGCGCCATTTCAAACTCACATTTGTCAGCTTGAGTACGTGTGTTTGCTCAGATTGTGACGTCGACTACCAATACATGGAGTAGCAACAAGCCATTCTAGCCTATGGGAAACGCGCCGTCAGGCGACCAATCGCTAGACTAAAGGTTTTAACCTCTAACATCGCATTACTGCACGAGTAGCGCGATGCTGTGGAACCTTTAGAGCGGAACATATATTCCGCTCAATATCATCTCGAGATCAATTCCCAGATTTGGACTTTCAGTCGACTCGTCGAACTTTGCATCTCCGTTCTTTGAATGGTTGACGAATATCGGCCATGACGATCGAAATGCGTGCGTTTGTTCCGAGGACATCCGTACGATCCTTTGTAAAACATTGGACTTCCTCACGTTCTGTTCGCAGAGTAGGCACTTGCTCTATAGGCGGCCTACTATTCCATAGTACTCAAAATGTAGGCGTGATCCCGAAAGCATCATACTAGGAATTCTCATGAGTGCCGATAGCGCCGGACGGTGTAGCACTGAATATCAGGACCCAGTTATCAGATTATTTGAAAGCAAATGCACTGGTACCAATGTGTGGTTGTGCCATTCTCGCCAAAGAGTACATGATAGAGCATTATCGTTGGCACGTTCGCCGAGTTGCCTCCACTACCTGCGTAAAGCCCTAACAAAGGTTGAACGGTATTTTTGTTGTAAAATATAGCACCATCGTATATGCACCTAATCTATACCAAGATCTCTGAGGCCTACCAGTATATTCCATAGAAACCAAGGTCAATGCTTATGAGCTGCTGCGTCTTGCTTCTCGGACAGGGCCGCTAGTTATGCCAAACACCATTATGCGTTTGGATTTTTTCAGCAATCTTGGAGACAGCCCTGCACGTCGCTGATGCTTTTCCAGCTGGGTGAAGGCTTAGAGCAAAAATTATAACTAATTTATCTTAACCACCACCTCAAAATAATTTTTGGAAAGAGTAAATCACTATCAGCGAATATGACTGTGGGTTGAAATAAGTAGAGCCATATGATTGGTGTCAATATTTATAATTGTTGATGCGGAGTACAGACCTTCAGAATTCGATGTGAGCGGACTAGGAGCAACATTAAACCGGGCGTTTAGGATAACTCAAGTAACTATCGTGTGGAGATTTGTCGTTCTCGATTCAACCAAGATGACACCATATATTTAATGCACCTCCTGGTGTATATGTGCTTGCAGTCTATAGGCGCCCAACTTCGACCCCTAACCGGGTTGCTGGGTCCTGAATTTGTACATCCACAGACGAGATATGGATCGACAATCTGATAAGAACTTGAGTTATCTAATTGATTCTAATAGAATCCATAGAAGTGACACTAGAACAATAGTGAAAGGTTATCAGACCATGCTCTGCAACTATTAAGTATTGTAGATTTCGTACAAACCGACTGATACCTTCGCAAATACTTATGAGTGGATAAAACTGATGACAATAAGGATCGGCCCGCGGAAGATTCATGGCAAGACTAACTAATTACACGGCGCACGCTATATTAGATTCCAGCTACGGCGCCGTCGGTGGGCCGCATTTTAATATTGCACGACGCATCCGCAGCCTAGCGGTATCTATCGCATTTGTGTAGGTGTCATGCATTTGCCATTACCCCTGAAGGGCCTCGAGGCTGCACGTCAGAAAAATTCTGAAAATAGAGTGGTGCTAAACATGTACTATTCTGCCAGTAAACAAGAGATTCGAAGTCACAGTCTTCGTAGCGATAACGCTGAAACAATCTTACATCCTATCTGTGCGCAAGTACCGGCCCACCTAGAATGAAAAATTCAATTCCTAGCTTCGAGAAGATCGACAAGACCGAGATACTCAAAATTGGGAAGCACTATGCCTCGCATTAGCCAAACAACTGTGAGATAGGGCAATCTCACTCAAGTGCAAGTTATCGTATATGGTCTTTGGGCACCCGGAAAACGTCAGTAGTCGTTGTCTTCTCAATTCACTGGCTTCAACTTTCACGAAATGCACCAGATCTTCATTGAGCGGGTATATACCATCTATTCAGACGATAGTGATGTGGAATGCTCTTTGGCTAAAAATATGCCCTCGAAACAACAGGAACCAAGAAGTCCAATTATAATCCAGGCCGTCACAGTAACTACTAATCCACAAGAAATGTCCCAAATGCTTAAAGAAACTCCAAAACCCCGCGCTAACCATCATAAAAATACCAATCGCTCAAAACTATCCATAGCGCGGGAAAGAATAACTTCAATTTCACTTATAGCTAAACCAGTTGCCAAGCATCTTTTCTTTGATTTCTGGTCGCTGAGTCTGCACTGCCTGGCTTGACGTTGACCGAGTCAACACGGATATCGTCCTTGGGTGGCAATGAGTCCGCGCCATCGCTATTCTGGTCTTCTTCGCGGCCTCCCATGTTGTGTCGCTCAGACAGTGGTATCGTGTTCACAAAGCTGGGGCGGGTGAGTTCGTGCGATTTGAGGAAGCCCGCCTTTTTCAAAACGTTTTGTGCTGGTGACTTGAGGCTGGGTAGACACACGGCAATTATACCGACCAGCTCTTCAAGCTTGGTCAACATGGAAGGCTTGATCGTCTCTTGATTCGGGTCACCCTTGCCAAAATCATTGAATGTGGTCATCTTCAATGCGCAGACGACGGTTGCAAAAAGACCAAGTGACATGAGAAATGAGATCAGGAATTTCTCAGCGGTTGGGCGATTGAGGGTTCGAATGAGGCGGATGGGCATGAACGATAGAACGAAATCCATCGCCACATAGATACCTATAACTGATCAGCCTTGCTTCTACTATCCAGACTCTTCAGACCATTACTGACCTCCTATCACCCAACCATACGTGATGATGGGCTGCGGATCCCAGCATTTCGCGGGGATCTGTTCCCACGCCCATCCGAGTGGTTTACACTGCGCAAATTGGATGACAATGTAGCTGGACGAGATTACGCATTGAAATCCAATGAGGAAGTAGAGCGGGTATTTCCAAGATCTCTCGGTTCCGAACCTTAATAAGGAGAACGCAATCGATACTCTGACAAGACACAGAGTGATAATCCATACGGTTTGCAGAGAGAATTGCAGTTTTTGTAGAAGGGGCCAGTTCTGGATGACATATGCGATTGGCTTTCCCCAGCCGTAAGCGACAGCCGCTGTGCCTAAGGATACATTCACGAGCGAAAGGATCTACCGTGATGTTAGTTCCGCTACAAGAGCTGGTGGATGGTGTAATCGTACCTCTGCAACCAAGATGAGCCAGTCATCGATGTACAGAGATTTTGTTCTTTTCAGTCGGGATGCGATACGTAGGATAACCAAAGGCAAAGCAATCGCTGTCAAAGTCCATACTGGAGCAATATACAAGCTCGCCTTGTTCGAGTATGGCGGCAGTACAGTTGTCCCTGCTGCAGACATCGTGATATCTTGTCACAGACTTTTAGATCAATGAGCTACGAACCCAACAAACGAACGGGTGTTCAGTAGCACGGTGCCTCCCGCAATGACTGGGAAGATGGTTCCTCGAAAGCAGTCGAGGCGTTGAACCGTCCTGAAACTTCAACGACCGGCTCTTCAAGTGTCATTATATGCCCCGCCTATGTCGCTGCAAGCGTGAGACATGACGCGAAATTGATGGAAGATAAAGTTTAAGGCCCCGGGGAGCTGCCCGAACCAGCCATAAACTTCGTTACTGCGATCCTCCATTTGTTGAACGCGAGCTCCAGCGACAGGCTCTTGATTCGTCTCGCTGCGAGATCTGGTAAACCTAAGAGGCGCTTCGACCGCGAGGGGGTGTCAGCGAGCAATTCAAGGTTTGTAGCGGGGATGATGGCGTACGCTACCAAGGGTGACAGCGGGTCAACCTTTCCCCAAACTCCTACCGGCCCCGGGTGGTGGACGGGGAAGCATGCTCCGCAGGGGTAGCAGACGGTCTTTGGCTTGGATCAGTATAATTCAGGTAAAGGTTATGTATTCCCTGACTCGGTTGTGCACATCTCACGCAGGTGGTCAGACCAAAAAATGGACCCGTCGTGTCACCCTTGTAGATCCCCCTGAGCTGCACGTAAATGCGATGTCGATTAATAGCTGTCATTGTCTAGATTTTCTCCACCGTTTCTCAGTGGGCATTGATTGATACTGTTACAAGTCTTATAAGCTAACATGGCATGTTTTGCCGTTGGTACATACATACTTCAAAAAAGTTCAGCAATAAATATAGCCTGGTAAATGATGATACGGGAAGCCTATTCAAGTGAAAGCCTTTGTATGATTGCGTTGGTCGCCACACAAGCGCGTCGCGGAAGTGCTGCCGGTAATAAAGCCGGCAGTATTGACCCTGTCGTGGCTTGCATGCCATAGGTCGTCGGTCGTTCTCGGTTGTAGTGCTGCCAGGTTTGCGCAAATTCCACTCAGCGCATCGTCCCATTATTGTGCGCACAATACTTACCTACTCCGCCATCGTTGCAGGTGCTAGAACATGTCGTTATCCGTCCTGCAAACTCGTGAAATGATCCGCACTTACGTTTCCGGAAGCAGGATTGGACAGAAAACGGCACTAAAGCGCAATGACAGGCGGGCGCTTGCGGGGCGGCGGATATACTTGGACACTTAGACAGTAGGTGGAAGTTTATTTGAGCCATGAGTTGAGGGACGAATATCAATGGTCAAGTCTGAATACAGTATTGCTATACGCTATACGAGCTTCGCGAACCTACAGAGTACACTGCACATAGTATGAGGAATATGAAGGTGAAGAAATGAACTTGTATGTTCCGTTTCCTTCGCGAGTGTGAACGCAGATGATGAATCGCTGTCCAACGCCACAAGAAACAGTACCAGTCGAATTCCTCGCATTGACTGCCATGTCCCTAAATGCCTTTCGATTCCCCCTGCTGCGCATGTAGGGGCAAATGCAAAAGCTTTCCTCAAGCAATCATACATTCGCCTTAAGTCTGGGCTTGAAAACCTTGTATTTGATGGTAAGTTTGAATGAATCCTTTGAGACACTACAATTAGGTTTGGAACAATTCCAGAACAATGCTGCAGCTGCCAGACGATCAGGGTTTGGAATACGAAAAGTTGGATCCTAACTGGATAGATATGCCGGCTGGCAGCAGCCGACGAAGTCAACAGAGAACAACTCTAAATCATGCTGTTTCTAGAGAGACCCCAAGTTCTGGGGCGTCCTTTCAAACGTTTTATGCTGTATTTCCCACAGGTTGATACGCGAGGAACCTAACAAAGAATGAAGAATGAAGAAGAAACAGGGATCTAGGAGTGACGCCACGTTCCAGTGCAAACGCATACGCTATGATGTACTGACTGTGATGCACACTCACTTCGCAGTCGAAGTTTGATTGCAACACGGTACCGCAGTATGTGGAAGCTTGCCCAGAAGGGTATTGAATGTAGTTGTAGGCCTTTCCAACTCATTGCACCAATACTTGGTACAGGTAACCGATGCGCTTGCTCAACACTTCATTCAATAGACACGTCATACCGAGAAGTACATGAGCATAGCATGCTATAAGGAAGCATTCCCGCTATACGGTGTACACCTAAACCATACTGGGCGAAACCCTCTAAAAGACATCTTTCAGCAGCTGGTTCCATGCAGGTATGTCAGTTCTATCTCTTGCATTTTCTTTCAATGTGACGAAGTAAGCATAATCTTACATAGTTTGTCACCCTCTCCGATTGGACGCCTCTGTATCCCGCTTTTGTTCAAGGAGTTGTCCCCTTGGAGGCAGTTCTTGACTCAAAATAGTTCGGCTTCGGCGAAGTCTGATTCCGTGATGAAAGGCTTGTCAGGGCAGCTATCGTATTTCCGCTTACGCAACCCCAATCTCCCCACTGATGTGCTCAGGTTCGCTTTGTCTGTTCGTTTGACCAGGGAAATATTAGTGATCGCGACCAACCTCTCGAAAGCGCGTTAGTATATTGTTGACATGCAGCCTGGTTGCCTCACCTTTCGGACTTTCTGTAGACAACTGAGTGACAACTTGTGTTGCTATCTGAGCCATCTCGAACATATGTCTGGGTTTGGTATCTGGTCGCATACAGCTGTATAGGGCGATCATGTAGCGACTCATGCTTAAAACCTGGAGGCAATCTAAGCTTTTGTCCAAAATCAGTGCGTTGTAGCTCATCGGAGCTCATCTCAAGCAACTCCTTACCGATAGAAGCGTGGTTGCATGACTGGCTAATCTCGTCTTCTATAGCAATTTAGGGGCATTGGGGCACTGTTCTGCCGTACTTGCCCAACCTGTTCTGGAATGTCTGTGAATTAGGCATCACTTCCAGTGATCAGTTTCAAAACATTTAGTTATCATGCTACCTTCTGAAGTCGCTTTAGCATAGCCCTTTACGATACTTGCGATCAATCACCGATGATTACAATTCACCCATGTCAATGAAATACATAAAATGAAATGATTCAATGGCTCTCGTGGTAATGTTCAATCTTATTCCTTGTCGTGGACAAGCTGCGCAAATGGTGTAAATGAGGATCTCGAAGTCAGGTTTGACTTGCATAGGGCGTCATAGCAACGTTCCCAATCTGGTATCCGTGATTTGAGAATGCATGTGCCTGCTTTACTCTAGTGGTACATGTTGTAGTTTTAGTACTTCTAGGGTTGTCATTCTTATTTCAAGAAAACTGAGTTCTGTTTGCTTTACTGCCGTGGACTTAGAACGGCTAGGGTTCGTTGGCCGTAATGCTCTGGCCACAAACGACGATGAAGGAGAAGACGATACGTTGAGATTCTTTTCCATGAATCAATGCTATAACAGAGAGATCGATGCCTGGCCGAGTATTCTGCTTATTCTATAACTGTTTGGCCGATTAAAGTTGATCCAGTTGCCCGCTGTGCCTGCTGTCTGGACTCAATCAAGATTGATAAAATGGTAAACCTCCGCTATCTTCCTCCTTCGTTCCATGTATTTCTGACCTTGTTCCTGATTATTTTGCTCTCAATGACTCCGAAACCATTTTTAGTAGTACTATTCATCATATGCGGAAATCCTCTCAAATGTTGATGACCCCAAGTGAAGACCACTCCAGAAATTTAATCCGGCCCCCTAAAGGGACGGCATGCGCGGCTCGCCAGGCCTTACTTCGGTTGCAGCTGCAGCATTGCAACGCATACGCACACCACCCTCATCCGACAGCTGGATAACTGGATGGGAAGGACCACATGTGCAAGTCATGAGAGACGTTGCTTTTTCTCTTGTTGGTAGAGTACAGCGTCCCTGTATTTCAAAAGTGACGTTTCAGGCAGTGCATGCGTTCTTGCATGCGTTGTGTGTTACTACATGACTCGCGAAAAGTCTATTGATAACTATGTTGAAGACGGTTAAGCCCGACACCTCGTTTAAATTCTCATTCCGGACACGACGGTCCCAAGTAACTTTGGATCCACAGCGTTGATCATGTTTGAGCGATCTGTACGGAACGTCGAAGTAGGTCCTGTGACCTCTGAATGGGAGCCGTCCTGGCTTCCTCCAAACAACCACTCGTCACTCCAAGGTAGATCTCGGTTCCCCAAGTCGCTAAAGTCCTCGACTTCGGGTGGCGGTGCTGCCTCGCTCTCCACTGTGCATTCTACCGTGATGCGTATCTGATTATGTGCCTCCATCTGGTTGTCATGGTGCACTTCCTCTGGAACTGTAACCGAACTGCCGTTGATGCTTTGAGGTTCATCGTGACGGCGAAGGGCTCTCAATAAAGAACTGTTTCTTCTCAAGGAGCCGTATCTCCTGATACCCTTATGTGAAGGCACTGGAGACACCGGCAGCGAGGTTTTCGATTCCGTCTCCTTATACTGTGATCCTACATCAGTGGTGGATGCGGCCTTATTCTCAAGAATGCCCTCCTCTTTGATCTTAGATGAAAGAGGTAGGCTGGCCTCTATAAGATCTGACCCATACCCAGTGCGGCGCTTCTGGTGTGTTCTGTAGATTGCACGAAGAGCGGGGACAGATCCTGCCAGCACCGCAACAGCGACCTCGCAGTGCAGCATAAAGGTGGTCCATACTAGAACGAACTGGCGATGTCCTTCAACGTTGTTACGGATGCCTCCTGCCAGACGCACAACACTCAGTAGTATACATAGTAAAGAAACACAGAGAACCATCGCGAGGCGGAGCTTTTGGTCGAAACGAAGTTGTGACATGCAGAGGAGGGCTATTGGTATGCTTATGACTGTAAAGGTTAGTCGAAGGTCTGTGGAGGGCTACCGATCGCACATACTCATCAGGTCAGTCGCAATATCTAAGAAAGGCCACCCAATCCCGAATTTAACATTGAAGATCCAATGGTTCCATTCAAAGCATCGGACTATAAGCTTAGATTAGTCACTGTCCTCCAAATCGGGATGGCACGGCTTACTTGAGCTGGCATCGAAGCGTGGGCATAGAGCAAATGGCAAGACGATTACTATTACTCCAGCAATGGCAGTGAATGTACAAGCTACCCAGAAGTGTATTCTCAGAGGTCTTTGTACGTTCTGAACCATCCGGTAGAATAGTACCAAGAAAGAACACTTGATACTGAAAATTGATAGCCAAGCTAAGGACAATGACGCGACGATCCAATCGGGCCTGATGGCAGACCAGGAACGTGTTAAATAATCATTAGAGATGATTGAGGCACGGATCGAGGAGTTTAGAAAGGTTGAATCGATGAAGTACATGGTGTGGCTGTAGTGATAGATCGTAGCTGTCTCGCAGACGAGACATAGGGTCGCGAAAAGGACAAACCAATCATCCAACATGAGTCGAGCATCTTGTCGAAGCCGAAAAATGAGACGAACAATCGATGCAACAATGGCTATGCATGCTAGTAATGGAACAAGAACCTGTTGTGCGGCGCTCATATCAGCACAGGTTTTGACATATTATAGCACTTAAGAACACTGATGTTACCTTAAACGCAGTTTTTTGGAATCGGGATGCGTGGTCAATAGCCCAGTCAATTTCTCTCTGTGTAAGATTCGAGTTCACGCCGTTATCGTATTTCATCATGCGCAAACGAGGTCATTTGGACGATGTGTAATATTTCCTCGTCGTAAGAACGCTTGATCAAATGACGGCCAGCAAATGTCTCTGGGAAAGTTCACCAGGATTGTCTTCCCATTTTAAAACTCCCTTTCTCGGGCTATAAGCACGAAGGCGGCAGTGCCGTTGATGCTGTGAAAAAAGGCAATTATCCCCCAGTAAGTTTCAAACGCACAGTGAGATGATCGCTTGCGCTCGACCCAATCGTTCTGGTTCATTGCATTTTGGCTGACCACCGGACAATAAGCATATAACCATTCTCCCATCTCAGCCAATAGCGATCCTGCTTGGCACGGACATTCCACGAGGCATACAAGCTTCAGGCCATGCCCGCGGATTTGTGTATATTAATTTCCCGAGAATAAATGGATGAGGAGCTTTTGCAATAGGCTCGAGTCCTGTGTGCCTGGTTGGATGTATACAGATTTGCCTGGGCCACTCTGACTCAGCCACGTGGATCCTTCGATGATTGCCCGACTGTGACCGAAGGCTGTTGCAATGAATATCATCGATTATCGATGATGATAGAGCAACAGGTCTCAAGAGTCCCAAGATGGAGATGATATCATGGTCATTCAGTGTGTCCCACTACCGCAGCCAAATCCAACGTTGTAGAGACATAGTTTATTCTCTATTCAGTATTCCAATGTGTTGTTTATCTGAGACATCAAAACCTTGTTAAGTTTGTCCTTTAACAGTTTTTCGGAAAATAACTCTTTGTCTTCTCCGTATGGATTAGGCAATTCCATTATGGGAACATACTCCAAAAAGAGCAGTGAACACAGACTAAGTCGTAGCCTATCTCATCTGACCTCGCCCTATAAGCACTTCGTACAAGATTGGTAGTTTGTAGTCTGCCCTATGCAAATTGATGATAATCTTCATTGGAGTTACTCATGTGGTGCCGACATTCGACATTGTCATAGGCACCACCAACATCAAGGCTGCCTAATAAGTGTTACCAGCTTGTTGTTGGATGTGAAGATGAAACGAGCAATACCATGCTCTTATTCGTCCAGACACTATATTCCCTATGATCTGATGTCCATTTTCGAATCAGGGCGCTCCCAGGATACTGACGCACTAGCGTGAGCGTGGATCGAGTGGTCTAGTGCTGCATTGTAGAGCCATCTCTTTTTGCGAGGTAACAAGAAACTCGATTCTCTATGGTTCATGTTTTCTTTTTTGGTCTTGGCTTGGGGAATGCAAACTCGTAAAACCCACGGAGTTATCAGCCATCGCCAAGGTTCTCTTATCAGTAAGCTTGTAGACGTTCCTTTAAAAGCCCATTTGGACCCCATTTTCTGGACTTGTGTTTCATCATCGAGCACAGAATTGGCCGAAAGAACCAAACACATTTCACAGATCAGTAAAGAGCATGCCGGAGCTGTTGGTTGTTCGTTTTTCGCTGTTTGCGAGCCACCGGCAGTTTTTCCAGCCACCAACGAAAAGTTTCATCGAACCCACACGCCTCAAGCCAGATCGTTATCACATTGTAACTGGAATATTACCAGCAGTGCAATGACGCCAACCCGATGTTTCAATCACGAGCTATTGAAGAGTCTATACCTATCTCGAATATCATACTCTCTCAATGATCACCACCGAGAATGGATTCCTGGACAGTCATGTGATTAAACTCACGTGGCTGATTACGTGACGGTAACTTGGACTGCAAATGACAAATAAACAGAGTACACTTGGAACGACCGGCGTCCTATTCCTTCGGCATCCAAGAGTTTTTTTTTTTTTAAATTGCTACTCTGCTATTCAAGAGCGCCAGTCAAAGTAAGTATAGACTACTCGCTCTAAGAAAACTAACAACGAAGGACAAAAGACTGGTGTCTAAACTTTATACTGAAGAGTCAAGACGGAAATGACTCGGAGCCCATGAGTGCTTTGGAGGAGAAACACATTAGGTAACGGGGCAATTGCCGAAAGATCGCCGCAAAGTTTCCCGTCTGTAACAGGAAACAAATCTCATCTCCCATCATCAACTTTGCACCTTGACTCCTCACTGCGAACCCAACTCACCTTTTTCTGTATATTACCGCCAGATCGTTTTCCACCAGTTGCGTAGAGAGGCAACATCTGAAGTAATCATGGTGATGCGAATGGATCTCTCTGTTCAAGCCGAAAGGCATCTTCAAAGGGGCATTGCCTCCCTCCCAACTTGGCTCAGTCGCTTTCTTGGGCATCGCGGCCAAAAATTACCACCTTCTCCCACGTACATTCTGTGCATTTGGGGCTTTATAGGTGCGTTTGGTGGCGTTGGTATTCTCTTCGCAGTATTTGCGCATACAGAATATTTCACCAGTCGAGCTGTTCCCCCCATCGTCGCCTCATATGTAAGTCATCCAATCCCAAAGGCACGCGAATCCGTTATTAAAACTAGGTCAGGGCGCATCGGCTATACTGTGTTACGGTGCCATTGATGTACCTCTCGCCCAGCCTCGAAATCTGGTCTTTGGGCACTTCTTCTCGGCTCTCATCGGTGTCATTGTGGCAACTATATTTGGATTCGACCTGAAAGATGACACTCCAGACAAGCTGCAATGGCTCGGTGCGTCGTTGTCCACTGCAATTGCTCTTGTCGTCATGCACCTCACCAAAACCACGCACCCACCGGCCGGAGCAACGGCACTTCTTCCATGTGTAGACGCCACGATCTGGGCTCTGCGATGGTATTTCTTACCGGTTGTTTTGCTTTCTTCGAGCCTCGTACTCGTCAGCGCCTTATTGGTCAACAACCTGCAACGACAATACCCCAAGTTTTGGATCGCCCCGATCCCGCCCAAGGCGGACCCGCCGCAACAGCCGATCAACAACGCCCCACCCGCATCTTCGGACGCTGAGAAGAGTAAATCTGAACACGATCTGGACGACAACCGTCTGAAAGATGTGGAGGCGTTGCGTGGGAACTGAATGGAAAACGACAAGCAATGCGCCACCCCCAGTCAAGCAACACTTGGCGCCCATTGTGAGGGGTGATTAAAGACTAACCTCATTTATGGTGTCACACTACACACCTAGCCCGTATTATACATTTACAAAAATCAAAGGAGTAAAATATACACTGGCACAAACAATCCTCTGATGCATGAGCGGCTAATATAGCCATAATGCCGCACGAGCTTGACAAGGGTACACTGTGGTAGCGGTCACAAATGTGAATTGAGAATCAGTCAGTACCCGTCGAAGGGTTCATCTTCGAATGAGATCTGGCGCTGCTATCGTCTTGCATCGCGGTGCAACATCTTTTGGCATAGTACGGTTGTTGAATAAGCAGAGGAGGGGGGGCAATCCTCCTTTCTTAGAGGAAGGTGCTCGTAAATCCACATGCACTCCTCAAAAGCTTCGCGAATGACGAAAAGTCACTTATCTGTTTGCCATCACAGCCACACCTCGTTTTCTGGTCATATGAACTAATGCCGATCCAACTCGTTGTCGGCGTTCAATTGCCGCATACAGCATAATTAATCTATGGCACTGGGCACTACCCAGCGCCCACGATGGATCTATTTTCTGGTTGTAGATTAGAAGGGTGATTTCTATCCTGTGATATAATAAAGATCAGCATCACGCTTTCAATTCCAATCTAACTAGAGCATCAAACTCTGGTAGTAATTCATCAGGAGCAAGTAGTATTTCCGTCATTCTTCTGGTGCTTGAAAAGTTGGGAATCGTTGAGCAGGTCTGCAGTCTGAAAGTGAATGAGTTCTGTCCTACTTAGCATTATACATGCCAGCCCGCACTCTAATCCAGAAAATACAAGATGGCCTCCGACTACGCTCTTCCAGGCTCTGTTAACGTTTCCCGCCATACTTCTTTCTGGGAAAACAACCACGATGGCACGAATTCAATTCCTTCCCAATTGCTGTCTGGAGGCAGCGAAATATGGATCTTCATTATCGTTACTCTCACAGCATCTGTGCTTTTATGCTTTAGCAGATCTAAAACCAATGATACCCTCAAAGGACCTTGGGGTTTTCCAATTCTCGGTCAGTGAAATTGTTATCTTTCTTGAAACAAAACGCAAAGCGTTTCCTCACTTGTTCCCATGATGCGAATTCCATATACTTTCGGCTGCATATTTTTGTAACTAATTGTTAAACTGTAAATAGGGTCTTTCCCTTTCTTGACGCATTACCCAGAAATGACCCTCGATTATTGGGCACGAAAGTATGGGCCACTTTACAGCCTTCGTCTCGGCAACCAAATATTTGCCATCGTGTCCGATCCCTCTATCGCAAAGGACCTCTTCGTCACGAATGGCGCCGTGTTCTCTGATAGAAAGGAGATGTTCGTCAAAAGCCAAACGGTCTTCGCAGGTAGGGGGGTCACGGCAACTCCATACAATGACCGTTGGTATGATTTCTTAAGAGGAACGAAACACACTCGGCTCATTGACGCTACACAGGAGAAAACATCGCCGCATTGCCAACATCTGGCTCTGCCAGAAGGCTGTTGATTCATACACGAAAACCCTCGATTTCGAGGCTACAGATATGATCAAAGCTCTATACATGGATAGTAAGGGAGGTGCTTGCCATATTAACCCACAAACGTACGCCGGCCGTTGTTCGCTGAACAATATGCTTACGATAACGTTCGGATTCCGGACAGATAGTATTCATCATCCAATGGTCAAGGAAGCATTACGACTCAGTAGAGAGTTCATGAATACCACTGGGCCGATGTCGAACCTGATTGACTTTGTACCACTACTACAGAAACTTCCGACTCCGCTTAAACTGCGAGGCCAGGCATTACATCGTGATTTAGTAGCCACGTATGGAGGCCTGATCAAAGACGTACAACGAAAATTGCTTGCCGGCGTGGCGGTCGACGATTGTCTAGCAAAAACTATGATAGAACTAAAAGAGGAGGAGGAACTAGATGATGTGGACATGGCGATACTTGCAAGCGCATTCATGATTGGGGGCGTTGAGACAGTAAGATCACTTGGCGATTCTTGAATCAACGAGCTAACATTCTTTCTTTTGACAGACTGCTTCTATCATGCAGTGGTTCTCGGCCTTGATTCCCGCGTATCCTGAAGTGCAGAAGCGCGCCCAAGAGGAACTAGACCGTGTAGTTGGTCGCCATAGGCTCCCGACTGTGGAGGACGAAGAAAACTTACCATATTGCCATGCGATCATCAAAGAAGTAGAGCGCTGTCACAATCCGTTTTGGTTGGGTACACCGCATGTTGCATCAGAAGATTTCGTCTACGAGGGAAAGCTCATCTCGAAGGGTACCGTCGTTGTGCTTAATACTTGGACCATGCATCACGACAAGAAGCGATGGAGCAATCCTGACAACCCTTCCGAATTTAATGTAAGCTAATGTCCCAAAATCATGCAAAGCGTCAATGTTGATATTGCTGCAGCCTGACCGTTATATTGATGATCCAACTTTATCCTCGACATCTGCCAATTTGAGCGATCCATTCGCCCGCGATCATTGGATGTTCGGCGCTGGCCGTCGCATCTGTCCTGGCATGATGGTGGCTGAACGCGAGATCTGGCTAACGATCGCTAGAATGCTGTGGGCCTTCGAAATGATTCAAATTCCGGAGAAACCAATCGACTTGAAGGAATACGATGGCCTCAGTGGAAGAAGTCCTGTGCCATTCGAGATTCAGCTGAAGCCTAGATTCGAGGGCGTAGAAAAAGTACTACAACTATAATTTCTAGTTGTAGTTTCATTCTTTTCTTTGATGTAATTTCAATCTGAGTTGCCTCGAAATTTCCATTGATCTATGGAGTACGTATAAAGAAATCGCATTTTATGTTCTGCCTACCAAGTCGCGTTGCATAATTCCTGATTGTCCAAAAGCGGCAACTCTGATGCTTCTAAAAAATTATAACAGGGTCTCGATGCACATGCGCTCTTGTCCTCACTAGGTAAACAACGAGTAGCTTGATGTTTGTTAAATTTATGACTTGGCATCAAGCCTGTGCACTCGTTCCTATGACACTAATTACTGCAGGGATAGATATAGGAAAGGATGCGCCTGGCCGCATGGTTAAGTCGCTTCACAAAGAGAGGTGGAATGTAGTCGGTCGTCTAGATGTAAGCAGTATGACAGACGCAGGCCACCCTGGGACTAAAGGGGTAATACCGCAAAGCTGACGTCCGCATACCTGCACGACAGACCCAGGTAGTGTGAAGTAGAAATTCTTTCACGAGTTATATGCTCCTTCTGGTCATCCCCTCGCCCAAAGAACTCTTCCTATGACCTTGCATTTGATATTGACTTGAGCCGCACGGTGCCTGCAATACTCCATGAATATAAACTCCAGTTCGGCTTTCGAATACATTCCATCACTTAGTTGACAAAGTCGCAATCATTCTGAGGTTGCCTCAGGAATCATATAAGCAGCGAGGAAGCCTTCCGCAGCTTATTGCCCAACTTCAAAATTCTTGTAATTATCTTATAACTGAAATCTTTGTCATTCCTTCCTTTCGCAAAAATGGTTGCTACGTCGCGACTTGTTGGGGCATGCATTGCCTTGACATCTCAAATGGTTAGCTCCGCAGCTCTTCCCCCGAAGGGTTGCCCGGCTCAAAATCATGGTGGCATTCCGATGCCTAAAGAATTCCAAAGATACCAACAGAAATATCGGGAAAATCTTCTTGCAGTACTGCCAACCGGAAAGTGCACCGAAGAAACGATTGGTATTCGCAAATCATGGTCAGTCACTTACATCGTTCACCGCACCATAGAACCCTGCCGAGCAAGACCACTAACCAAGTAATCAGGGATGAGATAGACGATAATACTAGATTGGGCTACATTCGAGCCGTCCATTGCCTTGCATCAAAACCTGCACTGACAGATAGGCGCCTTGCACCAGGCGCAGTCAATCGCCTTGATGACTTCACGTATATTCACATCAACCAAACAAACATTATCCACGGATCTGTGAGTTCATCGACAAACCTTGATGACCAATAGTATGTCTTGACATGTGTTCCTGACATGTGTACTTAGGGGTACCTACTGCCATGGCATCGCATCTTTCTTACCCAATTCGAGACCGCTCTCCGTGAGGAATGTGGTTATGAAGACTATCTACCATACTGGGACAACGCGCGATTCTCAGAGGACCCATTACGCTCTAAGGTATGGGACGGCTCATCTTCATCGATGGGCGGCAACGGCCTCTATCTGAAGAATGACCACGGCCCATATCATGAGATTCTTCCCGGAGTCGGGAATGGTAACTTCACCCTTGCGATGCCCGCAGGTAGCGGTGGAGGTTGTGTCCAGGATGGTCCGTTCCAGAATTTTACCATTAGCCTTGGGCCTGTCGCAAAGGAAAACATCGATCTCACCAATAAGTATGGCTACAAAGCAAACCCTCGATGCTTGTCCCGGAATTTCCATGTCAAATCCAGCGAAGGCATTCTCACGTGGGCGAACGCAACCAAAATCGTAACATCACCCACCATACATGAACTTCGTATCAACATCGAGTCGCTGTGGCACAAGAACTCACACACATTCATCGGAAAAGAAGGTGCTGATCCATTCAGTACTACAAACGATCCTGCCTTCTACCTTCTGCACGCCCAGATCGACCGGCTTTGGGCGATTTGGCAGGGTCAGGATCTAGAATCGCGGACTTATGCAATTGATGGAAATCGCACTTTCTTCGGTCTGCCGTTGGACTATGCGCCTGATGTACCACCGTCTTTGGCGACTATTTACGATCGTATGGATATGGGTCTTGGGTTTACGCCTCTGACTTTAGAGGGCATGCCCATGACTGATCATGACAGTTGTTTTGTGTATCAGTGATAGTAGGGGTCGGAACTGGGGGGCTTTGTGTATGAGATATTTGTATCATTAATAATTGGCTTTAAGTTTGGTCACTCGGAGCATTATTTTTACTTCTAAGGTGGTTATATAGACATTGAGAGACATTTGATCTGATTTTGGTAGATCAATCAAGGTGAGAGCACGGAAGGAAACAACATAGAGAGCGAATGTATCTATTAATTATTATCATGGTCTTTTCACATTCTAACTTCGACTTTCTATGTTGTGGCGTTTACTATCCGCGCATACATGCTTCAGCAAAGGCCAGAGATTGCAATGAGCTCAGAAAACCATGCCCTTGGTTTGCTTGCCCTGCTCCTCCTCTAGCTTCCTCACATTGATGTTCTTCCAGATCCAGATGGATGCTAAACAGAGAGGAACGAAGCATGCTCCGGTGATAACCATCCTGCGCTGGACATAGCTATAGGAGTCAACGATTGCAGCACGCTCAAGAGTTCCATCAAGGTATGCCATCTGCTTCGGCATTGAACCGAAAATTTCGCGCGCCAAGTGCTTGCTTTCCTCTGGCAAACGTTGGCTGAGTTGAGCGGGCATGAGGTTGTTCCATAGACCACCAGCAATGGCGAATCCAATGGATGATCCGAAGCCACCGAACAGGCCCCAAATAGCGTTGACGACCGCAATTTCTTGGTGGGTAACTGGAGCCATGACAGCGAGTTGAGCGCAGATGGCGAAAATTCCCGTACCAAGACCAACAAGAACCTGCGTAAGTGCTAGAACACCGGGAGCAGTTTCGGGAGCTCGGAATGGAATCAAAAGGGCGGTACCAATCAGCATGATTGGCACACCAGCATATGCGGTCCACTTGAAATTGCCACTCCAGCTGATAAACATTCCGATAAGAGGACCAAAGACCGACGAAGTGAGAGAGAAGGAGTTGAGGATGTAACCAGAGTGGACGACGCTTTGCCTGTGAACAACCTGAAGATAGGAATTGAAGTAACCGTTCCAGCAGAAAGTCGAGAGGAACATGACACCGTAGAGAAGGCAAGATCCGACGATCGTTGGCTCTTTGAGGTATTTCCATGGCAAGAACTGAACAGGTGCGTGGTTCCTTTCCCAGACAACGAAAGTTGGGAACAAGAGTATGCCCAGAACAATCATAGCAATGATGTACCCGGTCTTCCAACCATTAGGAGCGTAGTTTACCAAAGTAAATGGCAACAGGAACAGGCAGAATGCGAGCATGATCAACAGGATTCCAATTACTGATATCCCAAGTTAGCAACCTTTTATTTTGTCAATTAACTCCCAAACTTACTATCAAACTGAACAAAGTAGTAGGCAAATGACTGGAAAATGTTTCGGTTCGATCTTTGCTTGTTGATAGTGCCAGCCTTCTTAGCCTTGCTGTACATAAATATCATGAGAGCCATGGCCGGAATGCTAGATGCAGTGAGAAGAATGGCAAAAGTGCCGAATGCCCATCGGAAAGTCGAATTCTTCAGATACAGATCGGCTATTTTCGGCCCAGCAAAAGTGGCAGCAATTCGGGGAGTCCCGTTGATACCGTAGATAATCATACGATTCTTCAGTGTTGTCATGTCGGCGCACATAACATCAACAACGTAGAGGATACCGATGTGACCAGCCCAGTACAATACATGAGCAGCGATGTAGGTCTGAACGTTTTTGCAAACCGCCTTCATGATTATACCGATAACACTGAGAAGGAGCATGAAGGCAAAACCCTCAACACGGCCCCAGATGTCGATGACCTTAGCGATCGTGAGGGGAATACAACCACCAAGTGCCGTTGAGATGACACTGGCAACGTTGAGGAGGCCATGACTGGCAAAGGCTGACGTGACATAAGGATTAAGCGCAGAGTCGACAGAGTTCTGTAGGAAGTCCACGAAATCGATGAGGTAGAGCCTAGAGGAATTTATAAATAATGTGCAATCGTACTGTCGAGCACGGGGCATAGATTACTCACAGAATGAACATAGTGATAAGCGTTGTCTTGGACCAAATGCTAGTGATAGCTCTCACGCGCTCAATTCCATTTTGATAATGTTGCTCAGGCTCCTTGTCCACGCTGTTCGCCTCGATATCGTGTACAGCATCTTTCTCGACCGTAATTTCTGCAGACGGGCGAACTACGTTGTTGTTGATTGGATGCAACACGTCAGGTTGGAAGGCCGACATGGTGAAAACTGAACAACTCGGCAAGCAACAAGCAGACAGTCCGGTACAGCGTCACAATAGGACCAGTTGTCCGGAAGGTACCCAAATTTAAGGAAAGGAATTGAAAGATAGACTGGCACAATGAGGGAAAATCATGAACGCAATGGGCAAGATCAACATTTTAAAACCATGCCATGAGTAGACACTGATCTGGAAGAGGCAAGAGTTTCGTCAGGCGTCCAAGTAGTGGTGGAGGGTACACCAAGACGATCGAAAAATCCGAACATACGCATCGAACGGTCATCTACTTCGAGCAGGGTGTCCAATCCGATGTCGCCCGTAGAGCTATGGCACCTGCCAATCATTAGATTATCAGATTAGATTCTTCGCATAGTTCCTGAAAGTCGACACGCTAATGAGGAAGCGAGAAGGGTGGCGCGACAGGGTTGAGGACCGCCAACGCCCCAGTGCGATTATCAGATGAGAACAATTGGACATCTTTGCCTAGTGAATTGCAACTTTTCCATCAGATATCCACCTCTCAGTGCCCGAGCCCTGGGCGCCATTGAGTTCAGCCGGCCCCCCCTTGGCAGTTGTGAGCCCTGGCCATTAAACAGGACCGCGCTACATTCCGCTCCTCAACCATACAATGGATTCTTGAACGATACCCCTCCATCAAAGTCCATCCACCATCACCTCTGTTCTTGTATCCACTGTGGCAACAACATAAGCCAACAGTCATTGATGACATAAACATAGAGGATGAATGTTCAAAGCTGTTGCAAAGATCAACTGGAAAACGTCTAAGTCAGATGCTCTCTCCAGTCGCGCATTCGAGGTAACAAAGGGTGTAGGGATTGGTCGTTCTGACAATCTTGTCTCATAATCCAGAATTCTCTCTCTCAGCGTTTTAAGTCCATTACTAAACAAAAGCTATCTCTACTTTTCCGCTTAACATTTTCAGAGAACCACATGCTACGTAAGACTTACGCGGAAATGTGTTGAAACTTTCTCCACCAAGACACTTTCTTCGCTTGGCACTATGGGACGATAGAGAACTGCTCGTAAGCTCGGCGGTATTCCCAGAAGAGCTTTCGCCCGCCTAGGACTTGTCCCCGAGGCTAAATTATCAGATCCACCATCTGATCATTTCCAGAATGGAATTGATATTGGAGATGTTTAGATAATCATCGAACGCTGCGCCTAGAACGGAACACGTCGCTGTTGGTTGTTGCAGGTGAAGGAAACCAGCCCCTACAATAGGAGGTGCACTTTGGTACTGGGCCTTTGTTTCGCATTCAGAAATCTGTTGCCTGCATCTAATCTGAATAATAGCTAACACTCCAGCTCTTTATCTTGCCACCACGCACATGCCAGCCCAATAGTGTCCCCATTTCTTTGCAGAAAGACATGAATCATTCTAGACGGGGACAAAAAGCGGCAATCATCTATGGAGAGTTTCGCACTGTAGGTCCATAAGTACCAAGCGGGCTGGACTACTACCCAGATCCCGAGCAAAGACGGAAAATATGCTCATTAAAGTTACATTTACCGCCCCGTGAGCATTTACAGACTCATGCTTTTAAAATCCAGTCAAGTCATTACTCGTGAGGTCTCATAGGGGCTCTCGGAGCGTCCAAATGTAAGGGCTTTACTATGCCGAAACAGTGAGTAGCACTTTCAAACACAGGCTTGGAATTCAGACACGCCAGGAGATTTGCCTCTGTGTCCATCATCCAGCTTCTCTTAAAAGATGTTTCGGCTGCGCTCCGACAAAACCTCGGGTGACTCGTGAGCTAAATGAGTTTTTCGATCTAGCACCTAGGGGCCGTTGACATTAGGCCTCCCGTACAGCAGGGCTGTTGGGGAGTCGTGCACTATGCTACTCCTGTAAATAAAAGTTTTTGCAATAGGTGCTGTACGTACCCTGAAAGTACATTGGAGACGCCTTCTTTCAATTTGCCAGTACTTTTCTTCATAATCTGGGAGGAGTTCAAGATTCTATGGCACCCAGAGTGTATTCATCCCAGGCAAGGTTCAATCGACGATGCTCGTTGTAGGCATGGTTGCAAGTCAGAGCGTTTCTCCACTAACTGTTCGTATTGCTCTAACCTCGTATTCGTTACCAGCCCTCCGATGAATCTTAAAGTATTCTCCGAGATTAGAGGCTTTGAATGGAGGTCCATTTTCGAAATCATCCTGTTAGCTAGTTGCTCCATTCGCCTCACATCTTCAACTTATCGGGATACTATGATCAACACACATGCACGCCTGACTTCCACGGCCAAACAACACACCATAAGCCTGTCCAACGCTATTTATTTACGTATTTCTTCTTCATATTTTCAAGCGTAGCATGCCAACAGACTATTCGATTTTAATTTCAAGACAAGACACTCTTAGCATACGATAGTACAGTGTGGTTCATTGACGCTCATAAAAAAACCTACCTCGTCTCAGGGTGAAAAACGTTGGAAAGAGTTATTGGTGAATAGGATTGACCTCGATTCAGACGGAAGAAACCGTCTCAAAGATAGCAATGCTGACACTGTGCAGAGTAAATTGCATTGTCCATGGGTATGCTCTTGTATTTATGACCCTGAGCATCTTCCGCTATTTCATCGGCTCCTAAATATCACTATATGTGCCTTCAACCTTAAAGAACAGTACGCTGAACTGGTAATACTCCGACCTTTTTTGAAGTCCAAAGATTACCAGTCAAGAGGCCTCAACTTCAAACGCAACCCATCCCTAGGCTTGATAGTGACCGCACCACCCGGCATTACAATCGCATTTGGATTCGCCATTTCCATCTCAAAGCTTCCCACGAAAGCCGCCACCAACGATCTCAACTCCGCCCTCGCAAACCCTTGCCCAATGCAACTCCTTGGGCCGTGGAAGAAGGTCAAGAACGAATAATTGCTATCGACGCCACCGACGTAGTTTGCCTTTCCAGTCGTGGGATCGAGCCACCGGTCGGGTCTGAAAGATTCTGCGTCGTCGCCCCAGATTGAGGGATCGCGGTTGGTCGCCCAGGGTATGATGAGGATATCGGTATTTTTGGGGACGAATTGACCGCAAATTGATGTATCTCGCGTGGAGTGGCGGGCGGATACGGGGATTGTGGGGTACAGACGAAGGGTTTCGTTGCAGACTGCGTTGAGGAATGGGAGAGATTCAAGCAAATTTGCAATATCGACGTCAGGACTGGAAAGGGTCTCAGGGTCTTGAATGGCATCGTGAATCTCTGTGCGAAGCCGGCGCTGTACGTCTGGCTGGGTCGCAAGAAGATACGCCGTCCAGGTCAATGCGGATGATGTCGTTTCATGACTGTTCGAATGTCAGTTGCGCCAGAGGACGAAGCTACAAGTGTACTCACCCCGCAGCGAGAAAAGTCAAAAGCTGGTCAACGATGCCCTCATCCGAGAAGTCATTTGAACGGATCATGATAGACAGGATGTCCAAGTGTGACTTGTCCTCCACCTTCATCCTGGCCCTTTTGTCCCTGACGAAATCTATGCATATCTGCTTCAGTTTCGAAGTGGTAATCCTAACGCGCTCGTTTAGTTTCCACGGTAGCCACGCAATGAGCTTGGACGGGAACAAGAGATGGCAGACGAAGTATGCTCCTTTCTCGGGTGTCGGCTCCAGAATCTCTTCATAAAGTTCGATAAGCTCATCGTCCGCGTTCCTGAGCGACCCGATATCTCGTCCCAGGCCCGCAAGTCCAATTATATCAAGTGTAACCTGTGTTGTAAAATGATTGAACTCCAGTACTTTGTCGTTGGAATCTCCCAGCTCCGACTTGATCACCTGGCATAGTTGGATCGACTTCGACCAGAACACCGGATACAATTCTTTGATATGGCGAAAGCTGAAAGCAGGCATAATCTGCTTTCGCTGGTGCTTATGTTCGTCGCCCTCAGTCACCAACAAGCCATCGCCCAGGAACTTTCGTAAGAACGCTCTAATCCATGGAGGTTTCTCAAACTCGTAGCTTTTGGCAACCAGCACTTCTGCTATTGCGGCTGGTTTCGACAGTATGAGACGTTCAGCATTGAAGAAGCTGCGCACAAGAACGATCCCGTCATTTTCTGTTTCCTTGATCATTCTCAGATGCGGTGAGCCTGGCGGCCACTTCAGCATCGCAAAGCCGTGGCCAAATATCGGTAGCCCGCCATTGGGAGGAGAAGGGAGATGTCGTAATGGCGACAGGAAGAATGGATATATGAATACGCGGTAGATGAAATAGATGGAGTAATTGACGAGACTAAAGGTGAGTAAGGCCCGTGTGAACGTCTTCACCGGCAAAATATCAGGAGCAAGTCTGAAGGAAAGCAATGCCTCGAGGAGGGATAAGAAAGTAATGTTAACTATTGGAGTATCCATCTTCTTTGCCGAAAAAATAACAAGTTGTACTTGATGCCGTTCGATCCTCTCACCAATATTCTCGCTCGAGTACAGGTTACAAAGCTGTCGAACTATCGAGCGCGCGAAACATTGGCATCAAGATTCCATTAGTGCTTATATGTCTTCGCAGTTACGAGTGCTTAATTCATGTGCAATTCCTGCTGCCTCGGCACGTATATCGTCCGATCGCTGTTTGGCTGCCCTGAGTGGTGATCGCCCAACATGAGGGGATGAAGATGCCAGTTCGATGGCTACAGCGCTAGGCCTAGATGGGACATGGTCGCGAGTGCGAGGGCAACCCCGCGTGAATACCGAAGACCGAATTGTCACTCTTCATTGCAAGGAGGAATTCGAACCTCAATGATTGGTCCTTTACCATGTCTTCGTCATACTATCGTAAACGTCAATTAAGACGTTGCCTTGTTTGAAAAGGCGGAGGTCCTAATGTAGAACAGCGTGGCTGTATCTCTTCATCAAGTGGGTTAGACCAGGTAGATGTAAGCCACCCTTTCTCGTGCCCTAGTGTGCTAAGGTCTAAGTACTCTTCTTGAAGATTTGAATAGATTAATCTGCCTACAAATTACTGCACATAAGTAAAGCTGTCTTCATCATAAGTTATCGCAGAGGCTCTCAGAGAGCGTGAGCGCGACTTGGAACCATCGTAGCTGAACAATCTTTCCAAATTACATTTCCGCATGAGTCCTGATTCCCCATTTCTCCAGCATATTATGTCTATGCCAGAAGCTCCTGTACCTTTTGCCCCAAAAGAAGAAGAAGGGAGTTGTGCAGGTCATGGCAAAAGCGATACCACCAAACGTGTAAAACACTACAGCAGGGCCAGCCTCAGCCGTCCAGTCATTCACAAAGTAGCTGAATCCATAGAAGAGGAGGTTCTTAAACAGCATGTTCATGATGAAAATCTCAGAAGACATGTCGCGGTATGCGTCGATAACATATGCAGAAGCAGAGATGGCGGCGCAGACGATGCCGAACAGGTCCATTCCGTGCATGGTGGCCGTTGCGTAGTAGGAGAAATGGTTTTCGCACATGTAACCGAAGGCGAAGAGGCCAACACCAGTGAGAAGGGAAGGAATCATACCCAGGAGACGGTATTCAGGCTCATAGATGCCGCCGTTGTGTTTTGCGCACCATTTGATGATCGGATCGAGCGTGGCACCAAGTACAATGGAACCCAGAAGGCCGCCGAGGAAGGGCCCGAGGGATAGGTATCCAACCCCTGCTGCAGAGAGATTATATGGTGGGAACATGAAGATTTGTGCCATATCGTAGGATTGAGCGACGAAGAAGGCTGTCAGGCCACCGGTGACAATCACCATCCAGAGCACCGCTAGGTTTAGGCAGACGGCGAACGGGGCAATCATTAGCTGAAGAAGATTGTCATCGCTATATGTGCCTGAGAAAAGTGCAAGCTCCTGTGCGAAAGTTTTCTTTGGGCCGTATGTTGGGTTGGCGGATACCGCTGTCTCCATTCTCACAACCTCGTCGCTGCCAGTGTCCTTTTGGATCGATGAGGGTTGCGTATGCCGCTTTTCTGCGGCAGCAAGCTCCTGGAGGTTGTCCTCAGCCAGTTCGTCGATGTCATAACGATGGTCGCGATTGTAGGCTGTCTCGGGTACAAAGAAGAACAAGAGGAAAACTTCAAGTGCGGCAAAGGCGATGAGGATATGGAAAAGATAGCGCCAACCGAGGTCTGTAGCGATAGGCCCAACGATGATAGCAGAGAAATTCGAAGCTGCACCCAAGATGAACTGGATGAGAGTCATCCACAGCCCACGTTGGTGAACAAAGAATAGATCGCCAATCATAGAGACAACGAGTGATTCGAAAGCGGAGCTGCTTCATGTTAATTCTGATGACCTGATGTATTTCTTGGAGTATGAGCCCTACATTGAGCCACCCTGAATTATACGCGCTGCGAGAAGCCCATCATAACTGTAGACCGCGCTACCAACGATGGTTCCAACAAGTCCAAAGAGTGATGAGAGAATGAGCATGAATCTCTTCCCGTATTTTCGGGATAGCGCAGATATGATGGGCCCAGAGGCTGCAGTTACCAGTAGCATGTAGCCTGAAATGACGGTAATGTCTGCCACTTGGACCTTGAAATCCATTGCGATCACGACGAGTGCTGGAGAGAGAAGCGGGGCGAGGACTGCTGCGTAAAGGGTTGAGCCAAAGGCTATGATAAACATGATGGTCCATTTCTTTTGCCATGGCCAGTTCAATGGGTCGTTGGGGTCTTCGGAGCTGCGAAAGAACGTTGGTATGATGCAATCTAAAGATGGATGGTGTGGTAAACTTACGGCTGCGGTATCAAAATGATGTCTGCATCCTTTCCAGTGCCGCGTTTCAGACCAGCAGTCGCCTCGGTCGGCCGCGATTGTTCCTCGCTTAGAATCACGGTGGCAGGAACATGTTGGAGATGTTTGTCTTCTAAAACTCCGAGAAACCCCATGGCGAAGGGTCAAGGTGGGACTTGGTGGTAGGCGCAATGTTCAAAACAAATGATCAGCGAGGAGAGGGTCTTCTACTTAAGAAAGTAAATTGGACAACTTAACGGCTCAGGTGCATCGGCTCAAGCGCGCGATCAAGCGAAATGCAGCTTCCATGGCCTGGAAATATTTGATCTTCATAAATCTCTCTGAATTTAGCATGGGTGCGAGACCCCTTGTGGGGTTGCACAATTCACCTGGAGGCCCCACACAAAGGGTGAATGGCTGGATTGGGCTCGGGTTGGCAGAACCGACATGGGCTGTTGGAGAGGAACCTTGCAGATTTCCAGTATGGACCTTACTCGTCCCCAGGACTCGTCTCGCCTATGAAGGGATAATATACCTGCAAGTTTCCCGGCTATAAGATATACATCGGGCGTTTTGCGATAATTGGAAACGGTATTGCAACACAGCATCAATAGATAATGCAGTAAGATATTGATTTTGGATGAAAGGAAGACTCCGCTCAGAATAGGTGACAGTAGATTCAAAGCCAGGCCAAAGTTCAACTCCAGCCCTACCCCAATGCTTAGTTTATTAGTTACAAGCCACGAGTTGCGGAGAGACGGAGCTACCCCGCAAAAAGGGACAGCCGCCCCACAGTCTCCATGTGCATTATTGTATTGCGTCCTTGTGCAAATATAGTCGGGAGTCATACCAAAGCTGCCCTGCAGTACTAGTCCAGCCTCTGCTCGATTGTCGTTGCAACATTCGTTTCCCCAAATTTTGGGTTCGTCTTACTCCAAAGCGCCTCGTGCGCTTGTCATATACTCGATTGATGCCTTCACGATGGTTATGGCAATTTCAATCTCCGCCTCGTCCCGTGGGGCATATATCACCACATAGCTGATTGGGAGACTGAGTCCCAGAAGTGTTTGAAGAAGCCTAACACCAGATAATGGGTGTCGCTGACCCCATCCCGCCTCTATTACCGCTTTACAGTCTGAAGGATGTAGTGTGACATGCAGACTGCCGTCTAGACCTGCATGTACATGCGAGATCTCTCCGCGCGTCTGATCCGCCAGCGCGTGCCATTGTCGCTTCTTGGACACGTGTATAGCGTCATGGCGGCGCTCGAGAAGGCTCTGCTTGACTTCTGTGAGGCCCTTCTCTTGCGTCTGTTGTCCCAACTCAGCAAAGCGGTCAATGAGGCTTTGTCTGATAGCTTCAGTCGGCAGTTGATCTAATTGTCTCTGCGGGACCGCATGAGCGCCAAAGAGGGGTCGTGGTGAGGCACGTTTTTGGGGAAACCCCGCTGGCAGGAAACCGGGCTCGTCATCAAGGGGAAAACCTCGGTGGCTGTACACAGTCGTGGAGAGTTGCTCACGACTAATCAGATTGAATATGTTGGCCACCAACCAACCGAGTGGGTTGTATGGTAAGCCTCCGGGGCCATATGAAAGGAAGAGGCGATAGTCTCTAATCGCCCATGGCGATATGGCTGCGAGGCCGAGCACAGAGGCAGTAGCAAAACGGTGCGCTTTCAGGACGTCGATGACGGTGCGAAGATGCTCAGAAGCCATCCTGAACTGTTGTGCAATGAAGCAGAAATCTTGACATGCGAAAAATTCCGCCAAAAGTTCACATATTTATTGAATCGGGTGACTAGATTTCATGAATTAGGCGACGAAGGGGTGGAGTGATCTATGTTGAAGATTCGAGTAAGGCGAGCAAGGCGAGACGTTGCGTATGCAAGTGCAAGGGCCCGTGCAGACGTTTTGTATTAGGTATCTACTGTGTCCATGCTGTGTATCCATCCATCCTTTTGAACATGAACAGTCCTGGCAAGCAATCGGCCGATAACTGACCTATCTATAGACATTGCATCGACTATAGCAGTATAATCGATAATTCCTACACGAAGTAGATCCACTTCATGTGATGCAGCCTAGAGCTACCACCGGAACAGGCCGATTTGAACGGCTCGGCTATCTTTTCATTGTTGGGTGATTTGTAACTTGAGAGTTGCACTGCGCAAGGTTAAAGAAGACTATTGGAGTATATGATTTACAAACGAATATCTCCAGTAGCATTGGGGTTTTTGGTGTTTCAATATTGTCTACTCCCTCCAATTGGTACTCAATATAGCGAAGCAAAATGGATCCCTGCAGCCAGCCAGTATGGACCCCACCACGAGATACTGACGACATGATTGTCTCCACCCAGCCAACGCAGAACAATACCTCATCCGTCCTGGAACTCAGCGGAACGTCGTGCGGTTCAAGACAAAATGTTTGCTCTCACCAGCGCCACGGGCAAGCTTGGGTCCGCAGTTTTGAATGCAATCCTCGATAATGCACTTATCTCCCCAGAGGAACTTGTAATTTGCGTAAGTACCTACCCATGCCGTCATTTTACCAGTTGTGAAAGCCTATCGCTCATCTTCCTTTTCAGACGTCATCCGACCCTCAAGACCAAAGATTAAAATATCTCCGCAACAAAAATATTACCATCCGTCATGCAAATTTCGACGACGCTGCTTCCCTAGAGAAGGGGTATGCGGGATGCGACAAGTTGTTCCTTGTCTCCACCCCTCGGATCTCCATGGACTTCAACGATGCACCTCTCTGGAAAGGCCGCGAGGCCCACCATCGCGTCGCAATCGACGCCGCGCGCAAAGTGGGCGTAAAACACATCTACTACACCTCACTAGCATTTGGAAACCCGTCCAAGTCGAGTGTTATGAAAGCGCACATCCGCACTGAGGCTTACCTTCGCGAGCTGACCGATGTTAAATGGACCGTCATTCGAGAGGGCCTGTACCACGAAAGCTGGCCACTTTACTTTGGGTACTATCATGCACTCAAAGACGATGAGAGGAAGGAGATCGTCGTGGCTGGTGACGGACCCATCTCCTGGACCTCGATCCGTGACATGGCGTTTGGGACTGCGAAGATTTTGGCGGCACCTTCTCAGGAGTGGAGTGGCAGGACGGTCTATCTTTCGCAGAATAAGACATGGTCCCTCCAAGATATTGCGGGCATCGTATCTAAAATCAGGAATAAGGATGTAAAGTTGAAGGTTGTTAGTAAGGAAGAGTATCAGAGATATTATGTCGAGGAGAGGCAGTTGGAGAAAGCTTCTGTTGAATGGTGGAGCGCGACTTATGACGCTCTTCCCGACGGCGAATGCGATATCAAGGATTCGACTCTAGAGGATATCTTAAGACAAGTAGGGAAAACGCCGGATCCCTTAGAGGAGACAATCAAGAAGAGTCTCGAATAATACAATTTCCATGTGAGAAGAGCTTGAAATAGTATAGCACATTATATTGTACTTTGTGACAGTAAAATAAAGACCAAACGCCCGCGGTTACAATTCGATCTGGGCATGGTAGATTCAACCATAAATTACAGTTTCGATGGCTGTTGAACATATCGCAAGTCATCCCGGTTGAGCTCAGTCAGGCTCTTCTTCCCCAGGTTTGCCAGAGAGTTGTCCGTGTCAGCAAGAATGCAATCAAGCACATGCTTTACACCACTTTCACCACCCATCGCCAGCCCGTAAATGTAAGGGCGTCCCACAAGGACAGCCTTTGCACCCAATGCAATTGCCTTCAACACATCTGACCCAGTCCGAATTCCGCTGTCAAAAAGCAGGGTAAGCCCCGATGCTTTCACTTTTTCGTCTGCTCCAATCTCTGCCAAAGCATCCAGTGAGCCGATCGCTCCATCCAATTGTCGGCCTCCATGGTTCGAGACGACGATACCTTCGATCCCATACTCTATAGCACGATGGGCATCTTCAACCGTTTGAATGCCTTTCAATACGATCGGGCCCTCCCAGTGCTTCCGAAGGATCTGAAGATCCTCCCAATCTCTATACGTGCCGGACGATAGAATACTGGTAAAGAACATAGCTTTCTTCATTGTGGTCGCGTTCGCAAGTACCTTAGCCGTGCCGCTAATAGAACCCGGCCGCTTTAGTATCGACCAAATTTCACCGATCTTCTCTGTGAGCTTTCTGTTGTCCTCTGCCTTGAGCTGGTCGTACATCCTATTAAAGACAGGATCTGAGAAGCCCATTTGGCAGCCTTGGCCATAAATGAAAGGCAAGTAGGAGGTATCAAGGTCAGCTGGCCGCCATCCAATCATGAACGTATCTAGAGTAACGACTAGAACTTTGAATCCATTCGCCTTAGCACGATTCAAGAGGCTTACGGTGAACTCTTCAGTCTGTGGTTTGGGCCAATACAACTGGTACCACCGATCACCATCCCCGTTAGCTTTTGCGACTTGCTCCATGGAACGTGTCGCGGCTGTCGATAGAATCATGGGCACTTTCGCGGCTGCACATGCACGTGCTGTAGCTTCCTCTCCGTCGGCATGCGCAATCTCTTGGACTCCAATAGGGGCAACGAGAAGGGGACTCTTGTATCGTTTACCGAATAGCTCCACGGACATGTCTCGCTTCGTAGCCTGGACTAGCATCCATGGTCGCAGCCGATATCGTTCAAAGGCAGAGATGTTGGCTGCATATGTAGACTCGCTACTCGCCGATCCTTGGATGTACAAGAAGTTCTGCTCTGGGATGGTTTGCCGTGCTTGAGCTTCCCATTGTGCTGGCTTGGTGGAGAACTTTGGGGCGCGGAGGCCTCGGTAGATGTCGCGCTGGTATTCCACAAACGCGTCCGGATCCGGCTCAAGCATGCTTTGCGCGGTCTTTGAGTTTGTGTATTTTGCCATTTTCGTTGGAGATGTTGATGGTCAAAGTCTAGAGAGTTGTCGCCGGAGATGATGGAGTGGAATGATATGTAACGCGCTCTGTACCTCGGCTCCCGAAATGACCAATGCTTGCTGACTCTGTGATCCCTTGCCAACATTCATTGACCCCTTCAAGTTCTACCTGTACATTGAAACCAAGTCGGTAATTTTCTACATTGAAGTAATCCAATCAGTCTCATCTCATAGCAAAATGGAATGACATGGTCATTATAACTTCCGATTAGCATAGCTAAGACCGAATATAGATTTCCCCGCATATCAAGGCAATGACATCATTGTCCAATAGTGCCTTGTGCATCGATTGGCAACCCTGAACAGTAAACGCGATTACTTCTACATTTTTCGTAGTCTATTTAGTTACAATGTGATCAGAGCAGATCAACACTCATCGATGAACCTCATTGCCATGTCTTTCCCAAAGCAGCTAGCACCTTGGCAGCCCATTTTCTCTCACCATGTACACACCGACATTCTATTCGCAGTGGGTATGCATCGGCATCCCATTCGACATGCCTTGAACCAAAATCTCGACAATGTATTGAAATTGTAACCGGAATATCTTTGTACATAATGTCGTCATCCAGGTTATTGGTCCTGATATCTGCTATTGGAGCAGCATTGGTTGCGCTCCAGTGGAAATACAATCAAGGTTACCAATTATTAGAAGAAACCAATTCTTCAAATCGCAACCATACTGGGGATCTTGAATATGAGTGTTCGGAAAAACCTCATCATTCGAGCTGGGGCACTTGGCTTCATCCCCAGAGGTTGTGGAGTCGTCCCAACGGCCAGGGCGCCGGCACCACAACGAAAGATTGGAATATATTGTACCATCTAGGTGGTAACGGTCCCTGGGTTGAGAAGGTTGCTGATGTCGTTGAGGGAGGTGTCGCCGTCCCTGATGGCTGCATAGTGGAGCAAGTACATATGATGTCCAGGCACGCGGAACGGTATCCGACTAAGAAGGCCGGGACGAGAATGAGAAATCTGCTGGAAAGGATGAAGAAGAGTAGGATTGAATTCACAGGTGATTTGGCTTTTGTGAATGATTGGGACCTGTTCTGGTCAGGTAAGCTCAGAAACTGTTCATCGCGACTTATCTTGACGCACTCGTTCGAAATCTGCACAAAGTTGTGCAGGATTTACGTGGGCGCTTCAATCACATTGTACAACTATAGCTACGTAGAGATACATCCTGCTAAGTTTCGAGTACAGATGATACCCGGCTAGCACAGTTGACTTCTACTGGCCCCTTTTCCGGTACCCTTGGATCATTTACGACAGGCGTACGCTTTCGCACACGGTACGAGCATCTTGTCGCTCGAGCTCTCTCTCGCCCAAATCCTACCACGCTCTGGGCCAGTGACTCCCATCGTGTCATAGACACTGCACGTTATTTCGCATCCGGCCTCTTCGGCATCGATTGGAAGGATGTCGCCTCCTTGGACGTGATTCCTGAAACCGCGGAGATGGGTGGTGACTCCCTCACACCCGGTGACACATGCCCCGCCTACATTGAAGACGAAACCGAAGGCTGGGCCAAGGGCTGGAAGACCATGCACGCCTACCGAGCCACTTACCTCCCTATTGCACGCACGCGGCTGCTCGCTCAGAACCCGGGTATCGAGTTCACGGACGACGAGCTCTACGCTATGCAAGAAATGTGCGGATTCGAGACCACGGTGCGTGGAAGTAGCCGTTGGTGTGATGTCTTCACGCAGCAAGAATTCCTGCACTTCGAGTACGCTCGTGATTTGCATCACTACTACCGAGCGGGGCCAGGCACGAAATACGGCGCCGGTTTGGGCTTCTTGTGGCTGAATGCTACCGTAAATCTGATGCTTGAAGGTCCGGAGGCTGGCCCAATGTTCTTTAGTTTGTAAGTTTCCTCCACACTATTATGCCTTCGCTTCTGCCCGCTGGTGGGAAATGGTCGTCTCAGAGAACTAATCGCTGTGTCTGCAGTGTGCATGACGACGACATGGCACCCATGCTTGCGGCCCTGGATATCATTGACGATATTCACCCCTTGCCCCTCGACCACATACCAGAAGATCGGCTATGGAGAAAATCTCAGATATCCCCGATGGGAGGCCGCATCACATTGGAGGTGATGTCCTGTGCTGTGGAGACTCAGGGCCATGTAGGAAAAGATAACTTTGTCAGGATTAACATCAATGACGGAGTGACTGCCATTCCTGGGTGTGACAAAGGTCCTGGGAGGAGCTGTCGACTTAGTGGCTTTGCGGCAAAGGTGAGGAGGAAGGGAGTGGAGGTAGGCGATTTTAGAGAAATGTGCGGGTTGCCTGAGGATGCTGCTGGGCGTATTACATTTCTGCATCAATGAGGTGTTAGGTGTAAACGATCGATTTTGAAGACTTTGAATAGACGATAGATTTTGATCATAGAGAACGTGTTTGAAGAATGGGAGTTAACTAAGTAATCGTTTTCTTTTCAGGTGGCCAACCTACCCAACCTATATTAAACAATCGTGTAGACATGTGTCGCAAAAGTGGTATCAAAGAAACAGAGAAACGGTAACTAATATCCGTGCTTTGCAAACTCTGTTTCGGTATACTCCCACAACTTCTTCGCCAGTCCATCATCCCTCGCCTTCGCGCTGCCCTGGGCGAGCTTTCCGATTGGGACGTAATAGGCGCCGTTCTTCAAGTTTTCTTTGGCAGTACTTGCGCCCCAAGTCTGCGTCAAGGCACCGCCAGTTGGGTCCTTGAAATGGCCTGGCAATATGGGTGTAAACAAGCTATAGATCCAAAGACCGATGTTCATTATGAAGTTTGTTCGCACCCCCGCATACAAATCTGTGATAATCGCTCCTGGATGGACAGCTATGGATGTAATTTCCGGATATCGTGTAGCAAGCTCTTTCGTGAAGAGAATGTTTGCCAATTTGGACTGTCCATAACGTCTCCAGGTGCTATGTTGCTCGAGAGCAGGTTGCTCGAATATTACTCCTGCGCTAGGTGCGCCGTAGTGGCCAATACTGGACAGGTTGACGATACGCACATCGGCATCTGGAGTTTTGGCGGTTTCCAACAGAACGGGCATGAGCAGTTTTGTGAACAAAGCATGACCCATGTGGTTCGTACCGAACTGAATCTCATATCCTTCCTTTGTCAGGCTATATGGTAGTGCCATTACGCCCGCATTGTTTATCAAAATGTCGAGGCGCCTTTCCTTGGATTTGAGGGTATCAGCCGCCGTTGCAATGGACGCGAAGGAAGTCAGGTCGAGAGGAAGATGTTCGATTGGGCATGCGTTGGGGACCTCGCGCTTAATGTCTTCGATTGCGGCTTCGGCCTTCGATGCAGTTCGAGCTGCGAGGTAGATGCGCGCAGGCGAATGCTGTGCGAGGTACTTTATGGTTTGTTTTCCGAGGCCGGCATTTCCTGTATAGTTGTCAGTATATATGCGCAGTGCATTGGATATGATGGCTCAATTGACCTCCTGTAACCAAAATGACCTTGCCGGCCAGGCTGGGGATATCAGTCGCTGGTTTGAATTTAGAACTCATGCCGAAGAAGAGGTCTGCAAGAGATGGTATGAGGATTGCGAATAGCACAATGTATGCAGTATTTAAAACTTCGAGAACTTGTAAGGCGATGCTCATTGTCAAAGTTCACGGAGTAGTAGATCGTCCGACTCGTATTCTCTCCGACATTCGAGGTTCGTTATTGGTAGGGAGCATTTAGCCCGTCCGGCCCTTTTGTGCCTGCCCTCCTCGGCTTTGAAAAGCGCGTCGCGTCATTGCATGTGATTAGTGATAGGAAAGTAATCGCTCCGGTGGCGGCGAGTTCAAGGTGTCGGAGGGCATTGAATGTGCCTCAATTGGCGAATGATGTTATTTCCACATTCATATGACGTTGAGAAGGACGATATAGAAATAATATCGAAGGATCATCTAGTCGATACTGTATGTACAAGTAAGCGCTTGAACACTTAGGCATCCCCTGGTGCTTGGCAGATGATCGGTGTTTTGGTGGCCGATTGCTCCTTCGTACAAACCGACCTAAACAACATAAATATGATACAATATCCGCGTCTTTTCAATCGTCTTGCTTTCTCTTTGATAGTACTCTTCATTATATACTCGTAAATAGGAGTTGAAATTCCTAGATTCGTCCCTGTAGAGTGCCTAACTTCACATGCTCGGGTCATCCACAAGCCATTCCAAAGCCTCCTTCTTGTAGCGAACGATGCCGCCGAATTAATTGATCTGTTCATGCTTGAGATGGATTGAGCTCAGAATATGCCCCAGGCTTTGTAACCAGCAACTACAATCGAAGGTCATTCTCTCTCGGAGCCATCCAGTCGTGCGGCTCCAGAGCTCTGAACTCAACATTTCCAAACGCTGGAGGTAGATCCATTCATGTTTTTTGGCTCAAAAGATCGAGGGGTTCAGTCGTACATACCTCGTGGATCAGTATCGTATCATTTCGCTCAACCGTTGCGAGCGTCGCTACACGGATTTCAGTGCTTTATCGCTGACTTTAGTAAATTCACCAGTCACTTCATAATCACGACACACGTAGCTTTATTTGCTCCCACTTTTGGACCTGATGCAAACTTAACGTATCAATCTTCCAATTTCCCAATAGACCAAAAACTCTATCATCACTTAATTGCGGGTGATGATGTACTGGGGGACTGGCTTTGTTTCCAGACGGTCTAAACAAAGAAGCTTTCCCAAAAACCCGACATTGTTTGGCCCTCATATTTGCTCTTTCCGGGCAAGAAGGTCCAGACAATACCTTCTGCTGTGATTGTAGTAACCATTCCTTAATAGGCCTCTAGATACAACCAGGAGGAGCAAAGTTTGGCACCTCTCAGCACCAACATACTCCCATGTTCGCCCCTTCAATGCTCCTGACTTGCTATTCTGAAATGTTATTGGCATTATTAGAACCATTCAGAATACCTAATACATTAACAATGTCAAGGCCTCCCTGTCGTCATATAATATGTTTGTCTACACAACGCATCCAACTTCAGCACTGTCTACACACACCACAAGGTGCACAATCCTTCCTCAAGGACCATTTTATAAGAAAGAACTCTTTTCCATCATATTTGACCCAAATCTATCCCCTTCCCACTTCTTCCTTCCGACTGGCTGAACACCCCCTCCGCTGCACCATGAGCACCCACGGAAAGTCATGGGAGCCCGCCTACAAGATCGAGGTGAGCTACACCTGCGGGCACTCCGACACGGAGACCTTCCACGGCATCACGGAGATCGAGCGCTTCCTCGGCCACGATCTCGACCCGAACTATGATCCCGTCGCCACCACGCAGCTGCGGCTTGCGGGAGAGTGCGACCGCAGCGGCTACCTCATGACCTGCATGGAGCAGCAGGGACTGGGCTGGTACCAGAGGAAGGCGCATAGGGATTGCGAGAAGACGGCGCAGCGCTCGAAGGCGAGGCTGATAGACCTGCGGCTGCGCGTCAAGAGCGTCGAGGCGAACATCATGCCCGAGCTCCCTGAGGGGTTCACGTTTCCGGGCGAGAGCGTCAAGAGTTCGGAGGAGCTGACGGAGCGGCTGAAGTATGCTCAAGGGATGTATGAGGTTATTCATGACGAACTGATACAGGCGTTCAAGGAGTGTGCGGAGTTGATCTTCGCGACGACCATGCCCAAGGAGCGGGACGGGGAGACGGAGAGTCTATCTGACTTCGAGGGGCGTTGCACAGCGAAGATTTGCGAATTCAATGCTAAAAAGCTTAGTGTGTACGCGGAGGTCGTGAGGGAGATAGAACGGATGGCTAAGTGGCCGCCAAAACGTCCTCCATACACGAAGCGATGCGTAATTAAAGCACGCCGGCCCAAGTCAGAGAGTATCTCATGAGCGTGACCGAGATCGAATTCCTGTCACTAGGGTACATTTTCTACATCAGGCTCCCATAGCTGAGCTCATGGGTCGCCATTCATATCATACCACTTTATTGCCATACCAAAGATAATTCAACGCCAATAGATCCATCAAGCAATGACCCATACGTGAAGACATGACCTAAAAGCATACCCATGGCCCTCATCATCCAATGATCCATACCAAACAAACCACTCCACCCATCAAGGCAAAACCTCCTTCCCCTCCCAATCCCAACACCTCCCCCTCCCCTCCACCCCAATCCCCTTAATAACGTCCAGCAACCTCTCCGCAGCATGATCCGCCCCAAACAGTTTACCCTCCCTCACATTGCCCCAAAACTCCCTGCTGAACTCCGTCTTCACCGTGCCCGGGTGCAGTCCGACCGCGAAGGCGCGGTCCCCGCTCGTGTTGCGCAGGTGGTTGTCGAACGTCTTGACGACCTGGTTGACGGCCGCCTTGGACGCGCGGTACGAGTACCAGCCGCCGAGCCGGTTGTCCGACACGCTGCCCACGCGCGCGGACATCAGGGCCATGATGGCGCTGGGTGGGAGGCCCTCGTGGAGTGCGGAGGGGCCGTCTTCCTCGCTGCTACGATTGCTGCTTTTGGCATTCTGTTTGCTGGCTTTCCGGGGGAGGAAGGGCGAGAAGTGCTTGAGCATTAGCATGGGGCCGATCGTGTTGGTGCGGAAGGTGAGAAGCGTGGAGTCTGCGTCGATTTGCGCGGGGGATTTCTCAGGGAATAGGATGCCCGGCAGGATGAATGATAGGTGGAGGTGGTGGGAGTCGAGGGGGAATGCTTCTTTGCATGCTGCGGCGGCGGCTGCAAGTGTGGATTCCTCTTCATTGAGTCTTTAGTTACTGGGTTCGTTTTTGACTGCGTGGGATGAATACCTAAAAAGTCCACTTCGAGCATTTTCAATCTATCGGGATTGACGTCAAGACCTTTCAGGATATCCCTCTTGACGGCATCGAGGTCTTTCCTCGCGGTTGCGACGACGGGGACATTGGTGGTTTGCAACACCTGTCTCGTCAAGGCGAGGCCAATGCCTCGGGATGCTGGTGATATGAGAGACCACGGACGCATTGTGTGGTGTGCATGTTGAAGAATTGGGCTGCCAACATGGCTGGACGAATATCTACTTTGGCTTGTTTTCCACAATATTGGTTAAGGGTCCAAAAGTTGAAGGTCGATGATGACATTGCCGATTTGCCCTGACGATCGCGGGGCATCGGACTAGCTTGGTTGGACTAGTATGGGCACTCCACTTCATCCCTCTCATTAGAGAGATTGAATGTAATTGTATATAACTTGTATTTAGTGTATTGCCTTAATATAGCGGTCTGTCCCTCAACCAGTGCTTTGCAATAACAAACATAGTACCCCCAATTCATTCCAATTTAGTTGTTCAAGACATGATAGCTTGTCTAAAAGTGAATTTTGATGACCAAGTCAACAATCCAGTCACAATAGAAAAGGGCTGCTCTGGAATCACACAGGGGAATCAGATAGTACCATCATGATAAAACGTCTGGTATTGGGATTGAGTATTCGCGTACGGAAAATGACGGCCAAAGCAAAATGCCAAACCAACAGGGTATGTCCTTATAAACCTGTAATGCTCCAGTGTAGAAACGCCCTTTTCACCTTGTGATGCTTGAACTCCTCGGCCTTTACGACCATCTTCATAAATCAATAACCAAAACTCTCAGTATGCAAGTATATGCCTTGTGCACCTGTTCCTTTGTGGACCGCACGTTCATCACTCAAGGAAACAACGTCTCGCTTGACATCAGCGACCAGTCCCTGTGGCCCGCACACAACAACCGCCGATTCACCCATCGCTTGCTCCAGTGACTTCCTGATGATATTTCGAGGGTTTGGTCGGCCCCCGAATACCGCGATAGATGGGTTCATCAGAAGCTTCGGTGGATATACAGACATTGAAGATCCATTGGATCGACGCGGGGTATCGGGTGCCGATGTACTGGGCCCACAGCAGCAACAGGGTGCGATTTCGTCCTGATCCTCTTCGTCAACTGTGGTCTTGCAACAACATGTCCCATTCGGGCCGCATGTTTTGGCATTCTCGGGCAGAGTGTTGATCCTGGTCAACTCTGTTATTTCTTCTCGGGAATCGTCCGCGAACTTTGCTTTCTTTTTCTCGGGCTCGTCCAAGGATGCGTTTCTGTTGCGAATCTCGACCGTCCCATGCTCTGGCTCCTTCTCCTTCTTGATTGGTGCGTCAGGATTTAGAGCTGCGAAAGTGGACAACAATGTCTTATGCTCTTCTGTAAACGTATCATCGCAAGTCACATATACAGTCAGTTCCAGCTTGATATCTCTCAGCCTTTCCTGGAGGGACTGGAACTCGGCGCAGACGGTCGATAGTTGGTCAGAAAACCAACCTAATTGCCCTCGACTCTTCACGACCCAGACGAAACGCACACTGCGTGTCACAGCACCACCTCGTGTCTGGAATAACGATGACGAACCCGTGGGAAGGTCTGCATTTTCTGTCCAACCTCGGAGAATATCGCGCAGCAATGGCATCGTGAATGTAGCACCTGTGCTTCCGGCTAGTAAGACGACGCTATCGAACTGCCGAAGCGGTCGCAAGCATCCATAGGGGCCTTCAACTGCAACCGTTTTAATGCATGATTTCCCCGAGGATGCGGGGAGTCCGTGTGTTTTCTCGGCGTGTCTGAAGAAGCGTTTCGTCCCCCCAGCTTCAGACTTTACCAAGAACTCCATTTTTCCATCAGATGGGATGGAAGCGACAGTGAATGGATGGCTCTGTAGTGGCACAATCGAATGGCATGACAGAAAAACATGTTGGCCGGGGGTCCAAGAAATCGGAGGATCTTTGATGATAATCCGGGTGGTTTGGTGGGGGAGAGGAACGAATTCGGCCTGACACGCCCAGAGGCTTCTCGCTTTGGTGAGGCTCTGCGTTTTGGGGTGGAAGAAAGACAAGTTTGCGTACACGACTCGCATCGCACGTACGACGCGGTCAAACCAGAAGATTGCAACGGGGGCCCAAATGTAGCCATGGACCTCGGCTGGGGTATGGATATAGACGAAACCGATGAATACTGCAAAGGAAACAAGGTGTTGTAGGACGAATACTTCGTAGCTCCAACCTCGAATAGGCGTCATCGAGCTGAAGACGATCCAGACCAACATGACCCAAGCAACCATGCCCTTTTGAACGATCGGATTCTCTTTGATCTGGGTACCAATGTAATCGTAAGGAGCCCAGTCCGCAAAGAGGTAGCCCATGTGAAGGGTCGCTGTCAGCAGCATACACCTTGCGCACCAACGATGCAGCCAATTCAGACGTTCGTGGCTGATACCGCTCAAGTATCCGATGATGTTATTCTTACCAGCCAACAGAAAGATGAGAGGAATCTGGGCGATGGTAACGAAGCCACATCGGTAGCCTATGTCTTGACGCTTCCATCTTGCGTTTAGGTCAAACCCATAAAAGCAAAGGACGAGCAGGACGATTAGATTGCCCACGATCAGGCTTGTTCTCCCAAAGGTAGGTAATCGCACTATGCGATCTTTAATTGGGATTCGATAGGAAAAGTTAGAAAACTCTCGAGTGACGGCATAAAGTGTTGCAACTATTGATGGAATCCACGAAGTTGGTTTTGCTGGTTTTGCTAGACCTGCTCGTGCTGCAGCTAATCTGGAATCGCATTAGTTGGGAGATGCATATATTGCGATCAAGAGGCGACTGACCTCTGGTTGCAAAGAACATGGTTGTAGATGTTGGCAAGCGTTGCGACGCCGACGACGCTGCCAACTACAGCCCAATAGTAGTGTGGAAACTCGAAGAGGGTGGGCAGTCCATCCATGGACATTCCGCCCATGGCAGCATGGTTATGCGACATGATGGCGCTGGAGTGGGCTCGACACGATTCGGGAGGTGTCAGAGCCTGGAGAGACGCAAGCTTTGTTTTGCGGTTTCAAAAAAGAATCAAAAGGCGAAGCACCAGAATCGTACAAGCAGCAGATGATTTCTAGAGGTAGCCATGTACGAGTACAAGTATGAGATGTGGGGGTGTGGCGGGAGGATTCAATTCATCATGAGCAGATTCATTAGGATGAAGAATCGAGAGATAGGTGACGAAGAGATCCGTGGTATCCGTGACCAAGGAGGAGGTTGATGAGTAATTGAAACGTAGGACAGGCAGAGGAGCGGTAGATGTGAGGTTCAGAAAGAAAAGGCAATGGATGATGAGAGAGATAGGTAGAGGTAGAGTGATCAGTGAGTACGTAGTAGTGGAGTGGAGTGGAGTGGAGTGAATATAGACGCTAATCTTGTCAGTGATGGCTGCGTACAACTTGGCGAGTGAGACGAGGATTGAATGCCGGCAGCCGCGTGGTGTTTTTAGCGAAGGGTTGAGTTATGATCTGAGTTGAGTTGAGCGAGTGTAGATCCACCGGGTACGAGGATTGTTGTACGTATTACAATACTGCGTGGTGTTCAATTGATAGTGATGATGTTTGTGTGGCGGTAGAGGGGAATGGAGAGAAAAGAGAGGAGGGAATATGTTTGGCTATTGGCACGCACGAGTACCCAAGTGGGTAGTTGGATAGGTGGGTGGATAGGTAGAACGGGGAAGGAAGGTGGAATGGAGGTGGTTCTTTCTCCCAATGGCAACTGTTCACTGTAGAACTGGAAGGGAAGGAAGTGGTCGAGGTGGCCAATCAAAACTTGCTCAAACGATCGCAAAAAAACTCCACAGGGACACCCACAAGGGACTAGACCAACCCCCAATACCCACTCCACCCACTTGCCACCAAAGAACAAACAACGGACTCGGGACTATTGTCGCTGACTACCAGGTTGAAGGGAACTAGATAGATAGATAGCCGAGCAGTGGGTGAGGGTGAGGGAGTTGTTGGCAGTAGTTATTGTATTATGAGTTAGTTAGAGAGACACCCAAGAGTACCCAAGAGACTTCACGATGTGGTGAGACCAGATATTCTTCTCTTCATTCCATCTTCCTTTTTCCTTCTCCCCCTCATCCAACAACCCCGACATCCAGGCCTTCTATTATTAAACACTCCAATCCCGCCGTCCTCTTTGTCCCAATAATCCGACGGACAAAAAAGAAAACAATCCTCCTCTTCCTCTTCTTCACTAGGTACCTCACCTAATTACTGGACTGACCCGTACTGTCGAATTCGTAACTGTACTTGTACAACGACATTCCGCGACACCCCACGCCTCACAATCCAGCTCTTGTCATTTCTTGTAACTTCTTGTCTGTCGCAAGATCGACCGCAATTGTTCTCGGCACCACTAGAACACCTTGCACATCGAAACGCCCTCATCGCCATTGCCTATGCGTTAATGCTCGCTCTTCCATGCGCACTGCAAAGACATTCGTCGTCCCCACCCAAGCAACCCCGGCTCGCCTAACACTCTCTCGACTTCTGGCCCCGTTGTATATATTCGACCTGGCCCTGTCAATCCAGCCTTCTCAACGGTAGTCTGGAACTCAACACCCACAACTAGCATCTCCATCTCTCAAGCAAGAATTATTCCTCCTCCATAATACCCGCCTCTCCAAACAGATCCCTATTCCCAATTCCGAAAATGGTTGCCCACGAAGGTCACGAAATGATGCCAACGGCAACGGCATCCCCATCCACAGAGGGATCCATGGGCGGAATGGACCACTCCATGGGAATGCAAATGTCCTTCTTCACGGCCACCAACACTCCGCTCTACTCGGAAGGCTGGACCCCGTCAAGCGCTGGCGCCTACGCAGGAACCTGCATCTTCCTGATCCTCCTCGCCATCCTCCTCCGCGTCGTCTTCACCGCGAGAGCATGGCTAGATGCAAAAGCCCAGGCAGCCGCGCTCAAGCGGAGATACGTCGTGGTGGCAGACCAGCAGACGGTCGGCGACAAGGCCAATGACGCATCCTCCATGACGGGAATCCTTACTGCCAACGGAGTCGAAGAGCACGTCCGGGTCGTCTCTGCGCCCGTCAGCCACACTCAACCATGGAGATTCAGCGTCGATCTTCCTCGAGCGTTCATCACGACCATTGGTGTTGGAATTGGTTATCTCCTGTACGTATAATTCTTCCTTTACATTGACTCCCCCATCCGAGGCCACGCTCTGTCGCTAACGAATCACGCAGCATGTTGGCAGTCATGACCTACAACGTTGGCTACTTCTTGTCCGTACTCGCTGGTGCTTTCATCGGAGAGTTGGCACTCGGCAGGTTCGGCCACGGTGCAATGACCATGTAACGAAAGATTTAATGACAATGCCCCTCTCTCATGTTCTGTTAGCATCTTCCATTGTTAGCTTCAATTTTCAAGGCGTTCTCGGGAGTGGAAAGGAAATCAAGCACAGCGCTTGGCGTATTCTTTTATCGTGGGAGGGTTCCCTGTGAAAGGGAAATGGTTCAGGCTACGTCGTCTAGATAGAGTGCTGCAGGGTCCAGCATCTGTAGCCCAACAAGCATCAATATAATAATTCTACCTAATCTCTTACTTTTACTCACGGAAGATTTGTCTGCTGTATACTAGGTATATACGATACCAAACCATTTCTTTACCGGAACATGCATGCGTCGGCCATCTGCCACAGCCGCTAGCCAAAAGCTTGATATTGCCGTACTTGTGGAGATAAAACTTCATACAGACGTTTGAAATCTTTTCCATGTTATTACCGACAATTTGCTCTCGCGAGTCCTCAAAAGATGCCATAATTAGCTAAAGGCTGTTCGTACGGTGGGGTCCCGCATGGCGATGGTGTTGGTGGTGAGAGGGTGCTAGTACTGTGCCATGCTCCGAGTAGATAGTAGATGTAAGTACCGTGGAGACCCTGGCCCCGGCCACCTGCAAATGCAAATGCAAACTGCAAATGCAGCCAAAGGCAACCCACGGCCCCGGAAACTTGCTCATTCTCTCTCAACTTTCTCGACTTCTCAACTCAACCATCTCGGCCTCGACCTCTTTCTGGTCAATTATTCCTCTCATATTGGCCTCGCTTCTCTGCTCTGCCGTGCACAGTACTCCGTAGTAAATACTACGCCGTACTCCATGCTATACTACTGTATCCCACCATGGAATATTCGCTAGTTACCCTCTACTTTCTACATCCCCGCCACACCTTGATGTCCGCCCTCGCTGATCTCTGACCTCTTGCCTACCGTATTCAGTTCTAGTTCGATTTTCCAAACATGCGCAACTACTCCTGGCATCCGCCACGCGCAGGGCTAAGAACGGAATGAACGGCTCCTGATTCCTATGTGTGTGTCTTACTGTGTAAGTGCGGCTGGTGCTACAGAGTACAGTGAGAGGAGAGGTAAATACGATCATTGGGAGGGGAGCTCTCTTGCAGCTCAATAAGTAAGGTAGCTTGCCCAATTCTTCGGGTTCTGGTAAATTCAATTCGCGTCCACCTCGTTCCAACTTCCTCAATTCATTGACCTTCTTTGTGAACGCTCGGCTCTTTCTTTTCTGCTTGAACTCACTCTCACTCTCCTCTGCAATTCATCCAGCCATCCTGATACCTTTCACAACAATGTTGTCCAACGCACTCCCGCTCCTCGCGATCCTCCCCCTCGCCGCCGCCCACTTCGACATCGAGTGGCCCACGCCGCGCGACTCCAACCATGCTCAAGCCGTCAATTTCCCCTGCGGAGGCGCCAACAGCGTCAAGACTCCCCGTACCGACTGGCCCATGAGCGGAGCACCCGTCCAGCTCAAGATGGAGCACGCGCAGACCAACGTCAAGGTCCTCCTCGCCATTGGTGAGGACCCGGGAGAGAACTTTAACGTCACGCTGCGTCCCACCTTCTCTATTGAGGGCCTGGGCGACTTTTGTGTTGGCGCATTGAGTCTCCCTAGCGGTATCAATGTTTCCGATGGTACGCCTGCTACCATCCAGGTCGTCACGAACGGTGATCCCACGGGCGGTCTCTACCAGGTAAGATGTTCGCAAGATTGCCGCCACGGTATGGCATAAAGGAAAGCGAAGCTAATTGTTTCAATAGTGCGCCGACATCACGCTGAGAACAACGGTATCCGAGGATCTCAGCGGCAATTGCAAGAACAACACGGGCTTCAAGGTCACCGCCGAGAACGTCCAAGGAAACCCCAACGAGACCACCACCGACCACAGCGGACACACGACATCTGCAAGTGGAACCGGAGCACCTGCGGCCACTCAATCTCCCGGTCTCGCAGCTCACCCAACTGCCATTTCGTGGGCTATGGGTGTGGTCGGAATGGCAGGTCTGGCTCTGTTGTAGAAGCGTGCAATTGGGAGGATTGGGACAGCTGAAGATTGTATATATATTGCGCTGAAATGAATAACGAATAACATTGATACCATATCGACCATCTTGAATTCTTGATTTAGTCTAGCTCCTTGGATTTGATCATAAGTCGGCTCTGATTGGCCAAGCGCTCGATTCGAACTCAAATCCTCATTTCGGCAGGAAGAAGCCTTGAAATTCATGGAGGTGAAAATGCTGTGCTCACGGCTCCAGAATTGTGTGATTCATCTAGGAAAGAATTGTAAATCGTGTGTTGTTCGTTAGTGATGACGTGCCGGAATGCTTTGTCGCATGCAATGAGTGATTGATTTTCGACCTTTTTCGCACACAAGCGAGGCACACAATCGGCGGCCCGCAGTTTCTCCGACGGTGCGAACATTGAAGCCATATCGAACTTCACCACCATCCCCCTCACCTATCAGCGTCAAATAAAAGTGCGTACACGAGTCCCCTCACGAGTCCCCCGTTCCCAATCGAAGGAAAACACTCGTCCCCGTCGTTCGACAGTTTTCGAGTCCCGTTGGCTAACCTTTGCCTACCGCAGCCTTTCCCCTCTCACCACACCTTTTTCCTTCTCCCCCCACCGCAAATATGGATCAAGCAAAGTTGGCGCGCATGCAAGCGTCGGTGCGCATCGGTATGTTGGCATTTTTATTTACTTCGAACAAAAATGAATTACTATGTGCCATAATGGCCCAAACCAACCCGTTTCCGGTAGCAATTGACTGACATATGTATGTAGGGTAAGCAACTCCGTCATTCTCCAACGTCCCGCCCCTCATGACCTTGACCCCCGCCGCCGAACTTGGGAAAAATTGAAAAGAAAGAAAAGAAGAGACAGAATGATCGAATATGGAATTTTTGGGGTCGGCGAGAAGATCACGGGAAGTGTAGGCTAATGCGTAATTACAGAGGCAAGGGTACGCCCCGAAGGAAGGTCAAGAAGGTCCACAAGAGCGCCGGTACCGACGACAAGAAGCTCCAGGCACAGTTGAAGAAGATCAACGTGCAGCCCATCCAGGCCATCGAGGAGGTCAACATGTTCAAGAGCGACGGAAACGTCATCCACTTCTCCGCACCAAAGGGTAGGTCATCGCCCGCCTTACTACGATCCCACTATGGTCTTCCCCGACGTCGAGCGCCTTGGCTGTCTCGCTCTCGGTGTTTTCATGGAGTGCCTGTGCTTGCGGTGTATGCTTGATAGTATCGAACTCGGGTGGGAAGATCAAGTGGAAGAATAGTAGATGTTGACTGGAATTTAGTGCACGCCTCCGTCCCCGCCAACACCTTCGCCATCTACGGCAACGGTGAGGACAAGGAGCTCACCGAGCTCGTGCCCGGCATCCTCAACCAGCTCGGCCCCGACTCCCTCGCCTCGCTCCGCAAGCTCGCCGAGAGCTACCAGAACATGCAGAAGGAGAAGGGTGAGGACGGTGACAAGAAGGACGACGAGGATGACGACGACATCCCGGACCTCGTCGCCGGCGAGAACTTCGAGACCAAGCAGGACGTCGAGTAAACAGCACACGACCAGATCGAGCCCCATGATGCATGCATGTTATGTGGAAAGGACAGGGAAGGTTCATGTGGTGTGGGAAAGGCCATAGTATCGTAGATAGACTCTATGGCTATGGAAATTTCGAAACCAAAATGTAAAATCCATTATGGGCGGCCTTACACGGTCGCCATCTTCCCACACTCTTCTCGCAGTAGATGTGCAATGGCCAAGGTCTTGTGCTCCCCAAGCGGGCGTTTGCTGTACTCACCCTGATGCAAGATGAGGGTATAGCTCTTGTGGGGCACGAAATGACCAAAAGCTTGTTCGTATGGAGGCAAGGCATCGCTATAGCCACAGTAGAGAAGTCCGGCACAGATAGCACAAACGTATCTGGCTCTCTGACTCATGTATGCACATGTCACCAACGCCTGAGCGCAGGTCAAAAACCCAGATGCTGAGTGGGGTACGACCTCTACAGTTCTTCACACCAACCCATCCTTAACACAGTGCTACCACTTCGCGAATTGTGGTAAGCAGATGCATGTGTTAAAATTCGCGAGACAATTTCACCAATTGAAAACATTGTAGCTTGTAAGACATAAGGGAACACGCTAGAAAGGATGTCTCATATCAACATTCTTGTTTAACGAGGTAGAGGCACAAGAACCCTGACACGCCCAGACATCGAAAGATCGACAAACATGTCCAAGTCTCGATTAAAACCTCCGTGTGGACCTTCCGAGCATACTGTACAGTGCACACTTATTACCACAATCCCTCGTGTATAAGCTTCAATGATCAGTGCAAGGACTCAATCAATTCAAGGGGGTGACAGCAGGCCCTCATTCGTTTGACGGCATCTGATGCGGAAACATACCGCCCCTACTCCTATTCACAATTGCGTTATATCTTCGTATGCAGAATACCACGAATCATAAAACCCAACGTCCTCGCCATTTCGCAACTTCAATATCGTCTGAGGATTGGTGAGCAGAGATGTGTGAGTTTGGAATTGTCAGCAATCCCGGATCTGCGGGACTGGCACCTCCGAGAGGTAGCCAACCAATCACGACACGGTATCGGGTGTTGATGGTCATAGCTCCTCTTTTTCTCCCTCTTCAAGGTATCAAAGCTTTATCCAGACTTGGGCATAGAGAGGGGGGAATAGCATCAAAATTTTATGAAGAAGGGCCCGTAACTCGGACTACCTTTAAAGGTCGCCGTGATTATTCGTCCCGATTAGCACATAATAGTCAGACAGGAATTTTATATAAAGGAAGAAGGAGGACTACACGGCGTTGTCATCATCTTACTTGCTTCAACTCCTTCAGATTCGATCTCGGTTCCCCACACCAAAAGTCCTAAACGCGCGACGCAACACAACAACGACAACTCATCTCGAGTGGAGGTACGCCTGAAACGAAAGGGATTGTCGTTTTGCACAAGAAGCGCGTCTATCGCCACTTTAGCATTACTTCCTCACGCCATTTCCTCTCCCGGGAGTTTGGTACTTGTGTTCCCTCGTTCCTTCCTTGTGTTCCTCCCTTTTTTAAAACTTGATCAATCCCCTCCTCCTCTTCCTGGGTCTGACTAAAACCCTTGCGACTTCGACATCGAAACCTTGAATCCATTGAGTCGCAGAAATTTCTTCTTGTCTGTCTGTACCAACACGTTCCAACAACAAAACCATGACCACCGAATCAATCGTCATCCTAGGCGGCTCCTTCGCCGGCCTCAGCGCCGCTCACTATGTCATCCGACACGTCCTCCCACAACTCCCCAAGAAGGATGGAACCACCTACGCCGTTACTCTTGTGAACCCTAGCAAAGACTTCTACTGGCGAATTGCCGGGCCCCGAGCAATTGTGTCCCAGGAGCTTATGCCCTCCAGCAAATACATCTACCCGATCGAGCCAGCATTCGCCTACGCGAAGGACCAATTCAAGTTCGTTCAGGGTACCGCCACGCATGTCGATGCCGCCGGTCAGACTGTCTCAGTCACTACGCCAGACAACCAGCAGGTGCAGATACCTTACATTGCCCTCGTTGTCGCGACTGGTGTCACTACCGCTTCCCCGTTGTTCACCCTGAAGGCGGATTCCGCCGACTTCGTCTCGCAGAAGGCAGCATTCCAGAAGGCGCTAGCTACGGCAAAGACTGTCGTCATTGGTGGTGGCGGACCCGTGGCCGTGGAGAGCGCCGGCGAGATTGCAGAGGTTTTGAATGGGAAGCCTGGCTGGTTCGCATCGGCACCCAAGAACCCCAAGGCGAAAGTTACAGTGGTCTCTGGAGACAAGAAGTTGCTCCCCATCTTGCGCGAATCTATCTCAAATACGGCCGAGAAGTACCTAAACAGACTCGGAGCCGACGTGATCTACAACACCAAGGTCGTGGGCACGACGATCGAGAACGGAAAGACGATCGTGAAGTTGTCGGATGATAAGACGATCGAAGCAGATATCTACCTTGATGCTACGGGTGTCCGACCCAACACCTCATTCCTCCCCAAGGAATGGCTGGACAACCGCAACCGCGTCGCATGTGATCCCAAGACTCTCCGCGTTACAGCTTCCCCTCGTGTTTATGCGGTCGGTGATGTCGGCTCATATACTCGAGGAGGTGTGATGGATCAGGCCAATGCTCTACCAGTGGCTCTGACCAACCTGAAGACCGATCTCATTGCGCATCTCTCTGGCAAGGAGCCTGGGCCAGACAGGCATTACACTGCGGACCTGAGAGAGTCACAGATTGTCCCTATCGGCACACAGAAGGGAGTGGGTGCATTCGGAGGCAACAAAGTCCCCAGCCAGATGGTCTGGTTGATCAAGGGGCGGGACTACATGATCTCTCAGCTCGCCCAGGCCACATTGGATGGCGCAGGGTACAAGAAGGAGGGCAAGTGGAAGCCTGAACCTGCCACCGCCAAGGTAGGGCTTTCCAGCGGTTAAGCCGTGATCGTAGTGTAGTGGAAAGGACAACAATCATCGACATTGGCGGGTCGGATTTCTTGCTGGCTTGTTTTACTCTTTCATTAATTTTCCCGCGTTCGTAGGCATACCCCTAGTCTTGTGGAGCTGAAGGTGCTTCGTTCAATTTCCCATGTTAGATTAATCAATTGCATCCCGCATCAATAGCATAACTCGTAATGAACAATATTTGAATTCATAACACTTCTCGAACCAAATTTTGGCTGTGCTATGAACAGACATAAAAGATCGGCGGAGAGATCCCCACAGAAATAAGCTTAAATAACTCCGGGGGCGCTTGGACCCAAAAAGAAAGAAAGCTCTCCCAAAATTTACCACCGCCAACGTCAACCTTCAAAAGATCGAGTCTACATTCTCCTCTCCTCCAACATCGCCACAACGCCCAACCAACCAATTGCTCCACAGAAAACGCAACGCCAGAAACCATGGCTGCAACGACGTCAGCAGCCCAGCAGCATCCGCCGGCCCTCACCTTCCCACGCCCCATCTTCGCCGCCCTCTCCCCGCACCCATTCCTCCAAGCCCACCTCTCGAGCACCGCGAACGACCGCAACAACAGCAGCAAGGCCCCCTTTCGCGCCAATGGCCGCACACCGACCGAGTTCCGGTCGCCGGGAATCAACACAGGCTCCCTGACGCACTGCAACGGCAGCGCGGTGGTGCGCCTGGGGAACACGGCCGTCGTGTGCGGCGTGCGAGCCGAGATCCTGAAAGAAGAAGACATACCGGGCGGACGAACCTTCGCCAGCACAGAGGAAGAGGATGAAAACGAAGACGAAGACGACACAGAGGAGCTCTCCACCCTCCGCCTGCTCGTCCCCAACGTCGAGCTCAGCACCGGCAGCACGCCCCAGCACATCCCGGGCAACGCACCCAGCACCTTCGCGCAGACGCTCGTCACCCGGCTGCGCAACACCTTACTTTCGACGCGGCTCGTGCGCGCCAGCGACCTACGCATCGCATACACTCCCTCCTCCGCGGGTTCGGACTCGGAATCCGAGCCGCCTCAGGTCAAGGCGTACTGGGTACTCTACATCGACACGCTGTTCATCTCGATCGACGGCTCGGCCTTCGACGCCGCGTTCCTGGCCATTCTCGCCGCGCTGCGGAACACCAGGATCCCCCGCGCGTACTACGACGAGGAGTTCGAGGCCGTGCTGTGCGACGACGACCCGAAGTCGGCGAGGGTCCTGCGGTTGAGGGGCCTGCCGGTGCCGAGCACGTTCGCGGTGTTTGAGGGGAGGGACGAGGATGGTGATGCTGAGGGGAAGTTGGAGTGGATTTTGAGTGATCCCGATGCGTTTGAGGAGTCGGTTTGTAAGGAGAGTGTTTGTGTGGTTGTGGATTGCTCGGCTGCGGGTGCGAGTGCGAGTAGGAAAGGAAGTACAGACGGAGCGGTGGTGAGGAAGATCGAGAAGAGTGGCGGCACTGTTGTGGGGAGGGAGGATATGAAGGTTCTCGTGGGGAGGAGCGCTGAGAGGTGGGGAGTGTGGCATAAGGCTTTGAAAGAGCAAATCTGATGGTGACCTTTAAGAGGTCGATGATGTTGTAGAAGCAATCTGGAAGAGGAGCTAATAGAGACGCACCGCTCTTGCGGCCTGACTGAATCACGGTAGAAGAATGATACCCTATGCAATTCGACACGTCACGGCATCGTATCAAATCACGTTGCTAGTGTGAGGCACCAGACAGCATATAGCAAACCGTTTGAACTCAAACATAATGTTTAGAAATGACGTAAAATACATAACTTAGACATGTGTTCCGTCAACAAACCGGATGATGAAACAATTCTCCTCCTTGTACGCCTTCAGACCGACTCATCCAGTCGATAATTATTTTCGCCGATGTAAATGCCAAATGCAGTCCAGAGGACTTTGGGAAAAGAAATGCTGCCGAGGACGAAAAGGACACAAACGCCTAGTGAGATAACAAAAGGAAGAGATGACAGGATAGTACGCGCCTTGAGCGCTGCCACGCGGCCTCGGAAATGCCAGACTCCATTGAAAACCTTCAGCCTAACTCACTTATCCCAATCATTCATATTCAGAAGCTCATGAACCACTCATCGCTTTTGGGTATCGTTGAATCATACCATAAGAGGCGTGATCGTCCAAAACACAGTCTTACTTGATGAGCATCTTCTTGCTGCGCTGGATAAAGGGACTCGGCATCTCATCGACCACCTCTGGATCCCAAACTGCGGGAATGTCCATAGCATTGGCACTGCGCACCTTCATTGGGCTGCGGATGCCGGTCTTGAGTTTACGGCCCTCATCTTCACTCATCGCCTGCTGCACCGGCGGAATTCGCTCCTTGCGGTTAAGCTCCACTATGGTTCGGCCTTGGATACCGTTGTTGCGCATTGCCTGGATCCGGATCTGCTCGTTGCCCTTCTTGGATCTCAGCCCGCCAGATGTCTCGGCCGTTTTCGAAGCCATTGCGTTCGTCTTTCGGGTTGGCGAAAGGTCAACAGACCTAGGTTTGGCTTGGCGGGTTGGAGAAGTAGCTATGACGGGAACAGCAGTCGCAGGTCGTGCCTTGGTGCCATTGGGTGCGAGGCTCGGAGCGCTCGCCAGTCGCTGATTTGGCTTAAGAAGCGGGCGGTGAGCGGCGCTGAGAACCTTGAACGGATCCTGATTCCGGCTTCCAGAGGCACTGCGTGCACGAGTTGGCGATGGCAGAATAGGAAGGTCGTCATCATCTTCAAAATCGCCATTCCACTCGTCATCCGTAGGAGACGGCGGGACTTCAGCCTCCCACTTCTTCGCACCTTCTTTAGCCGCTGCAAAGATGTTCTGGCGCTGTGCATTGCGTCGAGGGGAGAGTGACAGGCCAGCAAGGGAAGCCGGTGCCGGTGAGGGTTCTCCCATCTGCACGTCCATTGGCGATGCGGGGACTGGCATGGCAACGGGTGCAGCAAACATGGTCCTCGCTCGAGACAAAGGCTGTCGAGCTGCTCGTTTTGTGGGGACTGGAATAGCTTTCTGTGTAGAGTCCTCTACCTCCGAAGGCTCATTGAGAGACAATGATGAAAGATCGGTGCCACTGGCGAAACTAGACTCTGTTCCTACTGTGCTTACTGAACCACTGGTAGTGATTGGCTCGGAGCTGGCAACAGGGAAAAGGATCTGCTGCTGTTCCCCTGGCATAGTCGGTGTACTCGATCTAGGCGCAAGTCGAGGTGAAGTGCTTATACGCTGGGGTTGATTCTTCATCGCCTCTTCCACCCTGCGATTGACTTCAACTTCGAACTGTGCCTGCAGATTGGCTAGATCGCGGGCGTGGAGCTGCTTGACTTGTTGGTCGATCTCCAATCGGGCCTTGACTTCCCATTCGCGTCGTAGCCGACCGTCCAACTCTTCACACATTCGTTCGTATCGTGTCTTTGCCTCCTCTGCTTCACGTGTGATTGCTGCGTATTTCTCTCTCTCATCACGCAAGGAATGGCCCAATCTAACGACCTCTTGCTCCTTGCGCATCAGTTTCACGATCGGAAGATTGAGCATGTGTACAGTATCCGGGCGGCGATTTGGTTGGACCTGGAGGCAGCTTGCGATGACCTTATTCAACTCTCCGGAGTATGCGGAGGGAATTGGTGGGTAATTGCCAGACTTAATCTTCTGAATGAGTTCGAAATGCGTCTTCGCATTGAACGGTGGTTGCTTGGCGCAAAGCTCATATATGATGCATCCCAGTGCCCAGATATCCGAGTAGAGGGTGTACTGTTCCGCTTTGCAAATCTCTGGAGACATATAGAACGGCGTGCCAACGTATGTGGATGCGAAGTCATGCGACTGCAAGATCTTCGACAGACCGAAATCACCCAACTTCACAGAGTTGTCGTCCCCAAGGAAGACTTGATCTAGTTAGTCACGGTGCTTTTGCCGGCAAGAGCCCTTCACACTCACTGTTTTCCGGTTTCAGATCACGATGCAAGATCATGGGTTTGCCGCGAGTCTTCGGTTTCGCGTCTGCACCCAGTCCCATGACGTTGCGACCCGCGGGTGGTGGATCTTCGCCGTAGTGACAACGATATAGCGCGCTCACAATCTGGGAGAGTATGCTCCATACGAACTCCTCATCAGCCAGCTGATTCTTGTTCTTCAAGTCACGGATGACACGACCCAAATCACCGTTGCCACAATATTCCATGTACAAGTGCAGGTCCTGCGACGCTTTGATGTGATCTCGCTCGAAGTAGGCAACGATGTTTGGGTGACGAAGTTCCTTAAGGATAGATAATTCGGCTTGGAGCTGTTCGCGCTCCTTCTGCGACATCTTTGAATAGCTGATTTCCTTGCGGCAAAGAATCTGAATCAATTAGTTCATGTGTCGGTGGCCTACACAATTGAAGTTGTGTATACATACGTAGCCATCAGACTTCCGCATCACCTTGCGGATGATTCCAAAAGAGCCATGTCCTATAACTGCATCAGCATATTCATCAAACGTATAGTGTCGGCAGCAGTATCTTGTGCGGTACCTACCAATCTTCTCGAGGACGTCGTACTTCTCGTCCTCAGGCATAGTTTCCGGGATAGTATCATGCAACGAATGCTATGTTGTGAAGAGGTATTTTATTATGCTGTTATGTTAGTGGTGTCGTGAAGTTGTCGGTTGTTTGGTATTGGCAAGTAAGGTGGTACCTGTAGATCAAGACCAAGTGTAGTGTTGTGCCAAGTAAACACTCGTCGCTACCGCAACCAGCGCACCAGCCACCAACTACACAAAGGGAACCCGACCCCAGACAAATCATTCTATGACGCCTTATCGGCACGTGATCCTTATCGCCGAATCTCCGCCGCCACTTTCCTCTACCTATATGTCATCAAGCATCTTAAAAGCGACTTGAGATTGCTCATACAGAGCACATCATGTTCCCTGACGCATAGATTCGGCGTTTTCAAATTTCGTTTTTCTTTTGTATTTTGGCATCATGGTATTGAAGAAGCATGAAATTGAGGTGGCTCTCGCCACCGAGGCCCAGGCAGTCTCGTCAGGAAAGATGAAGGAAGACAACCCCCTCGATCTCAGCGACAATTTCCGCGTTTTCTGCGAATCTTGTCGCAGGGGAGACTTGAAAGTCTGCCAGGAGATGATCTCCCTGGGTGTCAATGTCAATGCTAGAGATCGCTTCGATTATACTCCTCTGATTTTGGTAAGCAACATCTCTTCATGGGAACAATATAACACAATACATCCATGATCGCCATCCAGTCACAATAGCTACGAGCAATAGTAATCGTTGATAACAAGGCTAGTCTATGCGGTCATTACGAAGTTATCCGGCTGCTTCTTGAATCCGGGGCTCTCTGCGAACGAGACACCTTCCAGGGCGAACGCTGCCTATACAACGCACTTAACGATCGGATACGAAACCTCCTACTTTCATACGATTATGCGAAATCGACGAACCCATTGCAGCCATTGGCTGCCCACATCACATCGCTATTGAGCAGAGATACTCCGAAAACGACCGATATCACGGTGGCAGCATATGACCAAGACTTTGAATTGCACAAGTTCATCCTTGCTGCACGATCTCCTTACTTTGCGAAGAAGCTTGCAGCGGCACCAACCACAACGTCTTGGAAGCTACCTCAGTCTATTCCTGCTGAATCATTAGGTGCTGCCCTTCAGTATCTCTACTTTTCTGAGGTATCTTTGAGAAGGGTGACGCATGGTATGAATGATGAAGAGGAGTTGGTGGTTCTGGACGGAATCGAGAAGATTAGTAGGCAGTTGGAAATACCAAAACTGTTCGAGAGCATCACAGAAGTGTCGGACAGAAGGCTTTTGCGACAACAAAGGAACGAGGAACTCGATCGGGGTCGCGACCAGTTACAGAATTGGTTCCAGGACAATGTGGTGAAAAACAAGATATCCGTAGATGCTGGCAGGGTTGATGATATCAAGTGGGACCGGGACAACTCCATCTTCGCAGACATATTACTTCGAGCGGATGAAGAGAATATAGAAGATGGCTCAGATCAAACGGATGCATCACCTGGCGCTTCAGAATCCTCGACTCCTCCCATCCGAAATACCCTTGGACCGCTGAACGGCATTCCGATCGGACCGGTAAAGTCTCGCTCCCCTTCCAGGCATCGCCAACCTCGGAGATCAACTCTTTTCCCTGTACATCGCGCAATGCTTCTTCGTTCGGAGTACTTCCAGACTATGTTCTCTTCATCCTTCCGCGAGGCCCAAGATACCCCATACCTACAAGTTATTACAGTTGACTGCACACCAGCAGTATTAGAGGCAGTCCTGATCTTCTTATACACCGAACGGGCAGATTTTGGACTTGACATCGCCATTGATGTGCTCTTCGCGGCAGATCATTTATTCATCGAGAAGCTCAAGCAGCGCGCTGCACTCATCATCTCGACACTAGGAAACGGATCCACGTCCACTGTGGAGTCGGAAAACCCAAGAGGCGCAACAGACGCCGAAGAAGCAATTGATGTGTACGAGGTTATCCGCGCTGGTTGGGACACTAGGGTGCAACGCCTCGAAGAATTTGGTGCCCGGTATATTGCACATCGTCTGGAGAAATACATTGATGAACCAGAGTTTTCAGATATAGTTACTGAGTCGGCCAAACGAGTACAGGCCCGCCAAGTATGTGTGATTAATTGGCGAAAAGGAATTGTACAAATTGCTGACCAGGTACTCAGGAAACGGATACAGTCGAACTTGTAGATGATATTCGCTATTACTTAAGTGAGAGGTTCCGGTTGCGCTTCGAGGACAGTGGTCTCGATGAGATGATGGATGAGTCGCCTGAGGCTGTCGAGCAATTCGAAGACTCGGGCATTGATGCACAATCGCCACAAGATATACAATCTGGCAAGACTGGTTTGGACCTTGGAAGTCAGCTTGATGACCAATTCGCTGCAGGAGCCATCCGAACCTTGGACGGAGAAATCGCAGGCGACGAGTTCGCTCAAGATGCCATAAATTATCAGATCTTACTCGGAAAGATTGACGCATTGTTGGATAACCTGAACTTAGACGCATAAAACATTCAGCCGTTACAAGTACCTTAGTACAAATTCATAGAGGCAAAGTATATACGGGTACAAAAATCGTTTGCATACTTCTTTGAGTCTATATATGGAAAGAATGTTATTCGATAGTAAAATTTACACTCAAATTACTAGAAGCCGCAACGATTGAACAGATTGATAATTGACCCGACCGTATCTTCTCGTTTGTTGTTGCAAGGCCGTTTCGGAAGAAGATATCGGATATAGGCCCCGCAACGGTGATGTAATGATGTAACCCCACTCGATGCCCCAAACAATGCGGTTACCGGGAGTGCTGGATGCAGCCCACTAACGCTGCAATGCACTGACAAATACTCATCAAGAGCCATTGACCTAGATAGTAATGCGCTCTCTCATCTTCCCTCTTTTCTCTCACATTCCAATTTCTTCTCGAGGTCCATCTTTTATCCTATCCGCCACCGCCAAACAGTTCCCAATCAAAGCCAGACCTCGGTATCAACAAATAGCCAGCATGTCGTCCGAGTCCACACAGTCCAAAGCTTGTATGCCGATGCGCTCGCTCTAGAGCTCAATCAACAACTCCCAGACTAACCAATTGCAGGCTGCGACACTCCCGCAGTTGTGTCAAAAGGCTACAAGCCCAAGGGTGACTACATCACCGCCGACGGCCTGAAAACATGTCCGTATCTCCCTGCCGCCACCCGCCTTTTCCCCTCGCAATTGCGAAAGCGAATAATTGACAAGCGCAGATGCCACCGGCTCTAAGGACGCGAAACGCGGTATTCTCGTCGTCTACGACATCTTCGGCTACTTCGATCAGACCCTGCAGGGTGCCGACATTCTCGCATACGGAGACAAGGAGCAGCAATACCAGGTCTTCATGCCTGATTTCTTCGAGGGCGAACCCGCGGACATCAGCTGGTACCCACCGCAGAACAAGGAGCACGAGCAGAAGCTCGGCGAGTTCTTCAGCTCGAAGGCTGCGCCGCCGAAGACCTTGCCCAGGATCCCTAAGATCGTGGAGGAGTTGAGCAAGAGCAAGGGTATCGAGTCCTGGGGTATCATTGGATACTGCTGGGGTGGAAAGGTAGGAATATTGAAGCCGGTTGCATTATACGGTTACCGTTGGGTTCAGGTGGACTAACTGTTGACCACAGATTGTTAACCTTTCCTCTCAACAAGGCACCTCTTTCAAGGTCGCGGCTGCTTGCCATCCCGCCATGGTCGATGCAAACGATGCTCCCGGGGTCACCATTCCTTATGTCATGCTTCCCAGCAAGGACGAGCCCAGAGACGACGTGGAGAAGTGGGAGAAGGGTCTCAAGGTGCCCCACCTTGTCGAATGGTACCCGACTCAGGTCCATGGGTGGATGGCAGCAAGAGCAGACTTGGAGGATGCGGAGGTCAAGAAGGAGTATGAGCGTGGATATCAGACTGTCCTGAGCTTCTTCCACAAGCATTTGTGAGTGCTCCTCAACAATGGAGGAGCTGTGGGCGTATGATGGAGATTGCCTGGACTAAAGCATATCAGGAGCACAAACTCCAAACTTTAGATCCTACTATTAATGGAATAATGATTACATTCAAGCTTGTCTTTCACAACGAGTATGTACCGGTAACAATGAAAGACTCCAATTGCTTTGCTCAATGATTATTAGTGATTTTGTCACAGTCATGATTAGGCAGTTGCAAATTAGTTACTTCGTAGGAATCAATGGATTAATTATAGTAGTATGTAGTGTTTCTGTCCACTAGACTTTTGACCAAGCCACCATCAAGGTTATTGTGGAAGGGAATCTGGCTTGCTCTACCTTCGAAGTCCTCTATTTGTTCAACTCCTCAGATCGGGCCTTGAGCTCGTCCCTGCTGGCCGGTTTGCCAATGTCCTGGTCGACGACCGGGCCGAGATTAGCCTTATGTGCATTTGCACTGACAGAACCACCCGACGTGGCCTTATTGTCCTCCTGGTGCGCAGGATGCGAAGAGGCGGTGGAATCCGATGATTCCTTGGCGACCTTGTCGGTGATGTCTAGCGATGTTGTAGTCAGCAATCATATTCACAAGCATGAAGAATATTTAAAATTAGAGGAGATGGAGTATAAGTCAGGGAAAAGGTCTAAAATGGACTTACTGCCAGTGGCGTTTTCCTCAGCTGGGTGGACAGGCATATTTGCTTCCTTCTTCTGTGGCCTATGTTTTTGGAAGTGGTTCTTGGAGCCTACGATCTGTAGTTCTCTGACGTATTGCTTTCTGTCTTCTTCTGTGATTTCAAGACCTTTTGCCTTTTTCGAAAGGTAATCGTCGACGTCGTTCTTAGGTAAAGTGGAATCTGATGATGATGAATTTTTTTGTTGTGAAGACTCTGCTTCCTTACGAATGAAGTCCGATAGGTCGGTTGGCTTTTTAGCGTAGTAGTCGTGGATGAGTGATAGAGTGTCTGAGGCCATGTTGGGAGCAAGAGGGTATTATATATATGGACGTTTATGGTATGTACCTATGTATGTATGACGAGAGAACGTCCAGGCGTGACCAGTGACGTAGAGAACCAAGTGACGAATCGGAATCCATGGTAGTAACTATATGGCGGGGGCTAACACTGAGCCAAGCGGGTTAGTGCGGGGCAGGATGAGGTCAAAGGGTGAGAGGGCCAATTCACCATATTCCCATCAGATCCAACCATTTCTCGATCTTGGGAAAACGCGAGATGACGACGCTGCGGGCCTGGAACTGGTAACTAGTCACGTGTGGATTGGAACGCATGCAAATGTGTGATCGAGGCTGAGACCTACAGATTGGATATGCAGTGAAGAATAGCCAAAGGCAATCTAACCTTCGCTGAGGCATGATAAATTATTGAATGGACGTAAAACCACATTTCGTCGGTACCTAGTAATAACATTGCCTATCAGTTGGCGATTATGGCAGTATGGTAAGGAATGAAAAAGATGTCAAGCTACTGCATGTTGTACTCTTTAAATTCACTCGTGTGACCGCATAGCTACGAGCCCTCAATAGATAGCCGAAGTCTCCATTTGATATCGACATTTGGCGACGGAAGCATGCGAACCCAATAGTTCGCGATGCACCTTCTTAGTTCATGACTTTGTAACATTTGGACGTTTGGACGCGAACGAGGTTGCAACGCGTTGGACCTTTGACCTTAAAGTGAATTATCACTATCAGAACGCCGCACCTACTCCGTACATGTATCTCGTGACTGTTCAAACTTGATGTTGAAACGAGTCTGTGGTTTAGTGTTCATTGTACGAGGTACCAAAGCTCATACCAATATGCGCAACGGTCAACATGTAGCACCATGTGTTTCAATTCAGGAGCCGGCACCAAACATTAGCGCGATCTGTTTCTGATCTGCAGCGTCTCAAAATAGCAACTTGACATCACTATGAGAATCAGATACTAAACCTTCAGCCCTGTGAGTCGGTGGCGCTCAACAACAGAAGTTTAATCATCATGGCAGATGTCAACTACATTAGTAGGAAGGTCAAAATCAAACCCATGAGAAGAGTTTCTCGAACCTGTCGATTGTCATATGTAATGCGTATATATATGTTTAGCTACAAACCCACTGAACCCTCACATTTGAGTCACCGCCAAAATTCTTGTTTCATCTAAGCCATGATCTTGACCGCCTTCTTCGCCATCTTTGTAGCAAGTGCGTCTGCGATCCCTGCAGCCTCTTCAACTGTACGCTTCTCCTTTCGTGCTTTGATCTTAGCTTGAGCTCCCTGGATTTGCTTCGTGAGGAAGTCAACACCCTCGTCAGCCCGAGCACCATAGGTAAGGTGAGCTGGGAGAATGGTGAGCGTTCCTCGGCACACGGCATCTCCAGGCTGGCAAATGATCTCAACTTTATCGGCTGGGAAGTTGGGGATTTGGTTGTTGTCCTGTGTTGACAGTCAATGGACTGTTGCGATTATGATAGGAGCGCAAGACCTACCTGTTGCTTCTGGGTATCGCCGTAAAGGACGACTCCAGCAATGCGATTCTGGACAGCAGGATCGAGCTCCTCAACGGCACGGTGGCAGACAGCAGCACCCTGGCTGTATCCTCCAACGACGATAGTAGAGTCCGGACACTGGCTAGCCATGGCATTGATGGTATCCTGCATGAGCTTCTTGCTCTTGGCATCAGTGCCTCCAGGGAGCGCGTTCGGTGCAAGTGCTGCAGCATATTCGATGCCTTCGGTGGCAACATTGTCAGCCCCGAAATTGGCTTTCAATCCATTCGATGTAGGTGGTCCGACAACGGTTCCCTGTGTCACACTCTGTGAATAGGTCCAAATTCAGTGACGTGATTATTACATACCATGTTGCCTACTTCGGTGGATCCGCGTGCCCACGCGAAAAGAATGTCTCTGCAACCGCCATCCGAGAACTCGCTAGAGGAGGTACGGGTCTGTCGTACTTCAACTGGCGAAGCAGTAGCAAGACCAAGGATGGCAGCAGCGATCAGAGTGTTCATATACATCTTGAAAGAGAAATATCGAACAGTGAATGGAGATGCGCCTAGTATAGAGGTAAAGTCGAATTGAACGATTGTAACGAAATGTAACGAAGGGAGACCCGGCTCCAAAGTAGTTTGAGAATGAATGAAGGTGATTGAAGGTTGTTGATGGCCGTGAACAAAGATGAAGTTTATGTGGGAGGCGACGATCAGGCGATTTATAGCCTCAACTCGTTACTGACATACTTCAAAGCCGAGGCACAAAGTAGAGCTATAATTAAGCCACCAAATTGTCATAACCATCTCAGGTAGCCGTACAACCGTCGTGGCGTGTCACAGAACCTTTGAAGAACGAAGGACCTGCTGCTCGATGTCGATGCCAAGGCTATCAACCCATCCGAGTACGGATCATAGGAAACTTGCGGTGTCAATGCGCGATTGAGATCTGAACGGGCGATTTGGTGCATGACCAGAATTACCGAGGAAGGTAGAAGATACGACTGGCTGAGATCAATTCACGGTCTGGATGCTGTCGCTAGTATAAGAGCATGGGATACTTCAAGTAGGACTTTGTTTTAGAACCCCAGACTCGTTTGCGACACGGTAGAGTGGTTGTGCGTGGACCAACCCTGGACTTTCGACCTTGGCACATTGTCCCTCGGAAGTCTGAACTTGATCTTGACGACCATTGGTCAATAAAGCCTTATATCGGAATTGACTTCGGTGGATCAATTTGGCGGTAACATTGAACGGCGAACTCAAATGCTTCAGATACAAAGATAGTCAATCTCGAGATCCGTGGGACCGTCACGTACAGAAGGTCGGCACGTCGAGCTGGCATCTTGCCAGTATTCTCTGCCTACAACTTTATGTACATGTAATGTACATTCGCAAGGCCTTCAGATTGTTTATCAGCTACAATGTACTTTTCAATAGCCAGGACTGGTACAGAAATACACGATGCCATCAGATGGCCAGCCCGGTGTACCTGCCCTCTGTATGTCTAGTAAATCGATTGAGAAAAGTAACTTCTATCCATTACCAACAACTACTTCTATGAAAAGCTAATAATAATCTTCACGAACTTGTTACAAGGTTGTTAGGTTTCCCAGTAACCGGGATACTTATAGTGGTGTCGAGGAAGATAGGTCCACTTATGATTGCTTTTGAGAAAAAATGGGACTACGTTTCAGAATTATCGATGGCAACCAGCCACCGCGCCATTCGAACAGAGAGCTATGTGGCAATGACAGCTCTCGTTTCGGGACATATGCTATGTAATAAAGTTTGCACTCTTTATCAGATTAAATCTTAACATTGCGGTCTTCTGTGCATAGGTGAGCTTACTGCAGTTATGTGGAGCACAGTGACTTCGACTAAACTACATGAATCCCTAGAATTAGGAATTAAAAGCAAACAGTCGAATCAGGTCTCGTTTCAAGATGCACCACATGCGACAGTATGCAGGTCTCTGAAATAAGGTTGTCCAAGCTTTCTCAATGTCTGGCTCGATAACCGAATAGACAAGTCAGCACTAGCAATCAAGGGATTACAGCAATTAGGTAGACATTTTCCGAGCACTCGTCCTGATAAGTAGGAAGGTAGGTATGTACTCCATAGTGGAACTCTCCCTACTCCGTACTTATGGAACAAAATCAGACACCACAAATGACTTGACCCTGCAAAATCGCATACCATCCATCCACATCGTCTCGCCAGGCTTTGACGTCTCTTATTACAGTATCGATGTCTTCGTCACTTGCGCCCAATCTTTTCCATTTCTCTCGGTGTTCTCCTCTTTCAAACCGTCCAATCAAATTCTCAGCGTGCCTCTTTCTCTCATCTTCTGTGGCTTTCAATTCTACACCAGCGCCTTTAACCATCTTCTGTACTTCGAATCCAGCTTCACGTGCCCAGACATGGATCAAAATGCCTGCTCTGTGACCCGGTGCATGGGGTGGGTTTTGAGGATGCTCTTTTGAGGCCACAGAAGGGAGTGCACCAATGACTTGCTCATACATATATCTGTCATACAGCTGCAGCCCAGGCAGATAAGGGTACCAGCGAAAGGGGAAGTCGGACTCCCGACAGGCGACGAAACCACCTGGCTTGCACACTCTCTTCATCTCTCGGAGAGCCTTAACAGGATCGGGGGTGTGCAGTAAAACTTGATTGCAAAACACAACGTCGAAACTGTCATCGTCGAATTTCAACCCCTCCAAGACATTCCCAATCTTGAATTCAACATTGCTTAATGGCAGGGCTCGCTTGGAGAGATTGCTGTAGGCTTGGTCAAGTATCTCTTGATTGAGATCGATGCCAGTGACACGTCCGTCGGGAACGTAAGGCGCAAAACCATAGGTGATGGTCCCCGGGCCGCATCCAATGTCAAGGATATTATGAGATGGTTGCAGATGTGGCAAAACGAATGAGCCTTCTACTTCCGCGGTGCGGGCGGCATGTGAGGCTGTCACTGCAGGATGCCAGCTTTGGGTATATGTTGTGTCCCCCATTGAGTAGATCTGGCCGCTTATCTAGTTATCAATAGTTACTCAGTGCGGGCCACGTTCAGAATGATCAAACAAGGTCGCGAAAGTGTGCGTATAGTTCGCAGGAGTGGCAATGTTGCCTTGTACATCAAAATGCCAACACGAAGGATGTATACGCTTTCCATATTCAGTAACGAGCCTAATACATTGCCTTAATAGGAAACTAGCGCTTTAAAGAGCAAGTACTCTATACTAGTAAAAACTAGTATACCTATAATGTTGTAAAACTATATAACGTACTGGACGGGCGAGCTGATCAGACGGGCGAGCTGATCACTCTGCCAAGACCACACCAACTTTTCAGTTACCACAGCAATTTATCACAGCATGCAGCAACCGCACGTGCAATTAAATCAAAAAGAATCTCAAATACAGCTTGCAATCCAGGTTATAAAATAAGATGCAATATTTTCTCAACGGCGTGTTGTAGCTATCTATAACGTCTCTCAAAGTACGCTAAGCACGCGACTTGCTGGAATTACTTTTCGACGCGATTGCACGCCCAACTCAATGAAGCTCCTTAGATCTGAAGAGGAGGTAATTGTTCAGCATATACTTGACCTAGATACGCGAGGATTTCCGCCCCGGCTTGCTGCTGTTCGAGATATGGCTGACTCTCTACTCGCTGCGCGTCATCGAGACCCTGTTGGCGT